CACAGCCAGGGGTGTCCCTGCCCAGGCCTCGGCTTCCCCAGTTGCAGAATGGAGCAGGAGACGCACCGGTCGTGGGAAGGGCCGGGCACTGGCTCCTTGTGCAGAACCAACAGTGGGCAGCGTGCAGGCTGCTGGCCTGCAGAGACGACGTGGGAGGTTTGTACAAAAAGTAAGACGCTGTCTGGGGGTGTGTAGAAGACATTGCCCGCGCTGTGCGTGTTCAGGTCAGTCCTTCACGGCTCCCCACATCCCATTCACATATTCGTCCGCGCCTGCACCCACAGTTCCACTGAGATGTTAGCTCACGCACCACACAGCCTTGCTCCTCAAGTGCCCAAGACGGGGGCAGCAGCGCGTTCCCCCTGCGGCTCCTCCCACAGTCTCTCTTGTAAAAGCCGCATCCCCCTGACCCGTGAGGCTGCCCTGCTCCTCTGAGGCCTCACCCTCCCGTGCCCCGGGCCCACATCGGCCCAGCCCTGGCAGCAGGGCCTCCGAGTGGCTGTCCCAGATGGGTGGCGGTCATCGCTGACGTGTCACCTGCCCACTTCCTTCCCACAGCGGCTGCCCCACTGCGCCTCCCTTCCCCCAGCCCAGTGCGTGACAGTCCTGGCCCCTCCACCTCTTCCCCAATACTTGTGCTTTTAAAAGCTTATTTATCTATTCAAAAGGCAGAGTGACAGAAAGAGAGGGAGATCCTTCATCTGCTGGCTCACTTCCCAAATGGTTCCCACAGCCAGGGCTGGGCCAGGAGCTTTACCACGACCCCAAGTGGGTAGTAGGGACTGAAACACTTGGGCAGACTGCTGCTTGCGCCGGGCACATTGGCAGGGACCTGGAATGGAACTGGAGTGGCTGGGACTCGGACCAGGGCTATGATGAGGGCCACTGGTTTTGTAAGCAAGTCGCAGCATTGCTGAGCCCCTCAGCTGTCCCTGCTGGCCGGGGCAGCCCTCCCGGGGCCCGCTGGCTCTGCTGCAGAGATGCCCGGGCAGGTTCCTTCCTCGGGTGTGGTGCTCCTGTAACTGAGCCACCTGCTGAGGTGACCCGGGTGACCCTCGTTACGGACACAGTGCACACAGGCTTTCTCCCATGCTGTGACTCGGCTTCTCTTGGAAGCGCAAAGCTACAAAGCTGAGATGCCGTCCGGCTCTCCAGACTGTCACCCGTGGTTTGGGGCCAGGGCTGAGGAGCACCCCTAAACGCAGCTTGTGAGGTTGGCTCCTGGATTTTGTTCTGGGAGCTGTCACGGTCTTCAGGTCTCTTGAGTTCTCCCTGTGTGTGCCGTATGAAGTTAGGGTCCGTCCCTTGAGAGGTGACTTTCCCATCTCATTCACTCCCCACTCGGTGTCATCTTTAAACCGGTACACCAGGTGTGACTGCAGCTGGGCCAGGACACACTGAAGCTCACAGGTTTGGTGAGCTGGACATCTGAAGTCCTGTGCAGTCGCAAATAACGAACAATCCAGGAAACCTTCTCACGTGTCCCGCGAATGCTGGGGGAGAGCGGGGAGGGGCTGCGTGCCGCGGCCTCCCTGCTGGGATGCCATTTGGCCTCTGGGTGCCAGCTTTAGGAGGGGGCGGGGATCGGCAGAGGGAGCCCCAAGCACACAAGGCACCCGCAGCAAGCTCAGACAGACAGGAACCCCAAGAGGGAGCCAGTGAGTTCAGGCCCCAGACGCCCCACAGCACCGGGCCCGAGTGCAGCCTTTCTCAGCACCTGGGTGCTGGGCAGCCCGGCCACCAGGGCCTGCCCAGAGGAGGAGGCTCCCAGCTCGTTTCAGTGTCCAGCCAGGCGGCAGAGAAGCCAGGACAGGCAGCCACATTCCTGTAGAAGACAGGCCAGGGCAGCGCGGCTGACCGGGTGGGTGACCTTGCTGCCGGATCCACACCTGTGCTGCCTGGGTGCGTCCTGCGTCAGCACCCCAGGACTCCTGTCATCACCACCACAATACGCTGTTCAGCTGGTGCTGCTCGGGTGTGCATTTTTAATAAGCCAAGGTCAATGTGACCAACCCAGGTGGATGGCATCTTTTCCTCTCGTAGCCGATAGCTAAAAATATCCGTTCCTCTGCCGAGCGGCGTGCATGGGGTAGGTTCCTGGATTTCCACTGCCCGGGGTTCCTCCCCAGCTCACTCAGCCAGAGCAGAGAGGGTGAAATAGAAGGCCAGAAGGAAATATTCAAACCCTCCAAGGCCGAGCAGGTGTTGCTTCCTCCCTGCAGGAGTTGTTAGACCCTTTGAGGAGCTAACGTGCACGGAGACCCTGACTGGTGGGGGGGTCGCCTGCTCGAAGGAACAGGCTCATGCCAGGCTTGCGTTCTGTTCCCAGGGGACTGGAGCCCCTGGACTGGAGCAGGGTGCACAGTGGTAGGACGGGGCCCATCGTAGGCCCGCATGTGACTTCAGAGGGGTCGGATAAACAGGTGTCTTCATGCTGCACCTGTAAAACCTCGGGGCCCCTCGACTGGAAAGGCATGAACGCCAGGACTTTGGCGTTCCACCTCTCTTCCCTCCCGGGGATGGGGGTGGGGGGATAGGACCAGCTTCCAAGCCCGCTGCCCCGCCCCCACTCCCAGCCTGCTGACCTGTTGTGGAAATGCAAACCTGACTGGTTCAGGTAAAGGCAAACCGAGCCGAAGTGTAGAGCTTCAGCCGTATACATCCCGCCTCCCCCGACACCCCGCAGGTACAATGGCCTTTGCTGTCCAGCGTTCCCACCGTTGATGTTGGACGAGTTATGGTTTGACGGACACCTGAGGTCACGCAGCCTAGGGAAGCCCTGTCACCAGAGGACATTGTTTTTGGTTTGTCAAAGCCCAGCTGCATGGGAGCTGGTGCTGTGTAACGGGTCAAGCCACTGTCAGCAGCACTGGCATCCCACACAGGCACAGGTTCAAGACATGGCTGCCCCACTTCCTATCCAACTCCCTTGAGACTGCACCTGGGAAATACAAGTGGGACATGGGGGCTGCAGCTGCCACAGGTCCAGGCCACCGTCCCTGGCTGTCTCGGCAGCCCCCGCCCCAGCTTCTGTTCCCAGATAGCACCATGTCCAGGGAGCAGCTCCAATGAGCCAAACCGCTACTCAGAGCCAGTGTCAGGCCTTGTAGGGCTGCTGCTCAGCCAACTGCAGCCGCCGCCCCTTCCTCCTCCCCTTGGGCCACATCTTGGACCAGCGTCTTCTGGCCCTCCCTCACATTATTGCTTGCTCTCACTCTCTCTCTTTATGTTTATTTTTAAAAAAATATTTATTTTTATTATTTTTTTATTGGAAAAGTGGATATACAGAGAGGAGAGACAGAGAGGAAGATCTTCCGTCCGATGATTCACTCCCCAAGTGAGCGCAACGGCCAATACTATGCCGATCCGAAGCCAGGAGCCTCTTCCAGGTCTCCCATGCGGGTGCAGGGGCCCAAAGCCTTGGGCCGTCCTCGACTGCTTTCCCGGGCCACAGGCAGGGAGCTGGAAGGGAAGCGGGGCTGCCGGGATTAGAACCGGCGCCCATATGGGATCCCGGGGGTGCAAGGCGAGGACCTTAACCACTGCGCCACCGCGCCGGGCCCTCTTTATGTTTATTTTAAAGGCAGAATTACAGAGAAAGGAGAGAAAGATCTTCCATCTGCTGGTTCAGTGTCCAGATGGCTGCAATAGCCAGAGCTGAGCCACTCTGAAGCCAGGAGCCAGGAACCTCCTTCAGGTTTCCCACACGAGGGCAGGGTCCAAGGCTTTGGGACATCCTCCACTGCTTTGCTAGACCACCAGCAGCTCTGTGCCCATTTCTACCCATTTGGGGCCAGCACCAGGGTATAGGAGGTTAAGCCTACAGTTGCAAAGCTGGCATCCCATATGGGTGCCGGTTTGTGTCCCAGCTGCTCCACTTCCCATCCAGCTCCCTGCTTGTGGCCTGGGAAAGCAGTGGAGGACGGCCCAGGGCCTTGGGACCTGCCCCCGTGTGGGAGACTGGAGGAGGCTGCTGGCATTGCACTGGCTCAGCTCTGGCTGTTACAGCCATTTACGGAGTGAACCAGTAGATGGAAGACTTCTCTGTCTCTCCTTCTCTCTGTAACTGACTTTCAAATAAAAATGAAATAAATCTTAAAAAAATAAAAAGATGGTAAGAACGTGTCAAAACACTGGATCCACAAGACCAGCATCGCACTGAATGGCTTCCCCTCCCCCACTGACATCGTGTGTTGCCAGGGTCTTGGGGTGTCCCACTTTTCTTGGCTCACACAGTTTGACAGAGCCAAGGTCCCAGGGCGCCGCGCCTGTCTGCTCACCATTCCCTCCGTGTCAGTGTCTGTTCCACGCTGTTCCCCCGATCGGAGGCCCGGCTCGCAGCGTTGGGAGCATGGCCTCAGCAAGCCCTGGTACTAACCAGCTTTCACTTCTGTTTGCTTCCTGAATGGTTCTGTGTGTCAGCATCAGGCACACGTGGGTCACACCCCGTGCCACCTGCCGCTGCCCAGGGTCCATCCCAAACCCCAGAAACAAGCGGTTCCACCCGCCACTCCCCACCCCAGCCACTTGCTGATAGCACAGGCAGGATAAATACTTGCTGCTTCCCCTGTAATTTACCAATTTCCAGAATTAGCTGCCTGTGAACATCTGAATGGATGAATAAAGCGTGTGGGGAAGACTTGGCGGGCTGCGGGAGTGTGGCTCCTCTCGGTTGCTCTCCAAGGTTGTGGTTCCACCTACCATCCCGCCCCACTAGTTACACAACACACAGCCAGTGGCCAAACTTGCTAGCTGTGAGCCCACTGCAGTCCGTCGCAAGCAGACGTGATCAGCATCCGGGATTGAGGAACCCTGACGGCTTCCTGCAGCGGAACCTTCCAGCACCATCAGAGGAGGGGACAGGCCGACAGTGAGGGACTCACGAAGGCAGCTGACTTGGTGAGGGTTGGGCCTGGCCTCCAGTGTCTCCTGCTGGGCCAGCCGACCCTCCCCTGCCCACCGGGCAGCAGGGGCCTCTCTGATCCTCTCTCTCTCCCCAGGTGCAAGTGCAACCTGCACGCCAACCTGTGCTCGGTGCGGGAGGGCAGTCTGCAGTGCGAGTGCGAGCACAACACGACGGGCCCCGACTGCGGCAAGTGCAAGAAGAACTTCCGTACGCGTTCCTGGCGTGCCGGCTCCTACCTGCCGCTGCCTCACGGCTCCCCCAATGCCTGTAGGTCCTGGGGTCTCTCCCTGCCTTCCACACCCCACCCAGGAGCGCAAGCTCACACACACATGTGGCACACATGCGCACATGCAGAGACATGCCAGCATGTACAAATCCACCTGCTTGTGCATGGGCGGGTGCACACCTTAAGCGGGGCTCCCAGCCTTGTAGTAACTCCCCTTGCAGTCCCACTGACTGCTGGGAAACCCGGACTGGGCTGTCACTGTCTGAGCCTGCTCTGTTGTTCTCTGCCTGGTCCTCCCTGCACCTCGCTCAGGGGAACTGGGCAAGTCCACCTGTGTGTATACAGGGACGCCTTGCGGGTCCTCAGCACCGAGCACAGGTGTGTCCAGGGACTGTGACACGTGGTGGAGAATCCCGCAGCTGGCCCTGGATGCTATACCCCTGCCCCAGCTGGCCCTGGATGCTATACCCCTGCCCCAGCTGGCCCTGATGCTATACCCCTGCCCCAGCTGACCCTGATGCTATACCCCTGCCCCAGCTGACCCTGATGCTATACCCCTGCCCCAGCTGGCCCTGGATGCTATACCCCTGCCCCAGCTGACCCTGATGCTATACCCCTGCCCCAGCTGGCCCTGGATGCTATACCCCTGCCCCAGCTGACCCTGATGCTATACCCCTGCCCCAGCTGGCCCTGGATGCTATACCCCTTGCCCCAGCTGAGGTTGGGTGCTTCATTCTCTCCTGAGATTGAACAATGGGCATGCCCTCTCACTCAACCCTTGCAGCACCCCCATTCTCCACTTGAGCACACTGAGGCCCAGCCCATTGCCTGCCTTGAGTCCAGCCCTGAGACTCAAGGCCACTTACCGGCTCTGCTGCCCAAGCCCCCCCCATGCTTTGTCCCCTGCCACCCAGCCACATGCCCACCCTGCCCCAGGGTCTCCCGTCTGCCTGCTTCTGGATGCCCACTGACTCGAGGCCCAAGCCTACAGGTCCCTCACTAGGGGACCACAGACCCTAGCCCCTCTCTTCCCTGCAGGGCCTAAGAGCTGGACCCGCCCCTGCCTACCAGCAGGAGGAGGTGCTAGTGCTGGGAGCATCTAGAGACCCCCAAGCCAAGGGGTGGGGGGCTCTGGGGTCAGGATGGCTCCTACCCCCGCTTCTCCTGGAGCAATGAGGATGCAGCCTACACCTGCCCTCGCCTGCCGCTACCTGCAGGAACCCCCCTCAACAAGGAGGCTCATCTTGTCCGGGCTCCCCTCCACCACCCTCCCTCCTCTCTTGGGGCTGCCCTTGACCTTGGGCACTGTGACCCAGCGTCCCTGCCTTCGTCACCGCCCAGCATTCCGAGACCCGAGCTCTGGCCCGTGCGTGCTGGAGCTTGCTTTGCTGCGGCTGTGATCCTTCTGGGTTCCAGTCACGGGTCCGCCACCCTGGAGTCTTGCCGGGCAAGGACCCGTGCCCTTGCCCATCCACTCTGTGACTGCCCCCCCGCCGGGTTCCCCCAAGTCTGTGCTCCTCCCCCCCTTGTATAAGAGAACGGAGGAGGGGGTGTCCCAGGCCACAGCCTCCCCCACCCCTGCTCCTTAGACAAGGCTCAGGTGTCACCCAGTCCCTCCTGGGGGCCCCTTGAAGAAGAGGCCTCACTGTCCTCCTCTGATGCTGGCAAGGACATGCTCACCCAGGGATGGCCAGGCCCTGCTCCCATTGTGATCTGGGCTTCCCGGAGCGCGGGCGGAGACCCAGGGGTGAGGGCTGCCTCTGGGCTCACAGCCAACCCCCTACCCCTCCCGCCTCCCTGAACCCAGTCCCCCAGCCCTAGGACCGGCCTCAGGAACCTCCCTCTTTGGGGCTATTGGGAGTTCCAGGGGCGGGGGGAAACTCAAGCTCTCCAAGAGCAGGAGCGGCTGCTGCCCCCACCAGCTGCCCCATGCATCGCGCAGCCTGGGAGGTGGGCTCCTGGCCGCACTGCTGATTGAGGTGACTCCCAGGGGGCTGGCCACTCTGTGACCTCTGTTCTCCCCCAACAGGTGCTGCTGCAGGCTCTGCTTGGGGTAGTAAGTACAGCCTGGTGCTGCCCCCCCACTGTGCTGCATGAGGGAGGGGGAGCTCAGACATCCTGGGGCTCAACCCTGTCCCCTGCCTCCCCTCACACCCTCCCACTGTCACCCTCATTGTCATCATCATTGTCATCATTGTCATCTCTGGCCTGTGGTCCAGCCACTCAGTCCCCCTAGGAGCTTCATTCCTGCTGCTTTGGAAAGCAGGGTGGCCTTCTGCAGGTCCCTGGGCCACTCCAGCCCTGGGACTCCCTGCCCCTTCCCAACCTGGAACTCTTGCCTACAGCCACTGTTCCCAGGAAGTCCTTACTGCCAGCCTGGCCCTTCGTGGGGTTGGGGGTGGTCTGCCCTGTCCTGCCCCAGTGACTAGCATGGGACACACCAACACGGGGGGCATCTGCTAGAAGGACAAGGGGTCCTGCCAAGTCATCAGAGATGGGGGCAGGGCCGTAGGAAGCCACTTGGAAAGGGTTCTCCTCCACTCACCACTCCAGGCTCCGTGCTGGGCAGGACGCCGCAGCGTCTGGTAGCGCCCTCACTACCCCTGCAGGGATAGACACTGCCAAGGTCATCTGGCAGGGCCCTGGCAGAGCCTAGGTCTCAGCCATGCCCCAGGACTCTGAGATCCTGCAGGGACGCCACAGCCGAGCAGGCGCTGGAAGGAAGCTGGACCCTGTGGCGACACTGCCCTCACATCCTCTCACTTTTTCCCATTTCTCACCAGACGTCAGCAGGTCCAGGAAAGAGTCTGTTCCCCAAGCCCCCATGGCCACTGTGGCCATGCGGAGAGGCCCTGCCACTCCCACCCCCGTTAAGCCCACTGCTTTGGCTCCCCGGGCCCACAGCATGCCAGAGCCCACAGGTGGGTGCCAGGGTACAGCAGTGACCCCTGCTGCCCCCTTTCCGCTTGTGTCTGCCTCTCGCGTCTGCTCTTAGAGTAGTCAAAGCTAGAACCTAGTGTGGGCTTGCTTACACCCGGCCAGGGAGCCAACCCAGTTCTGGAAAATTCCACCTGCTGCTCTGAGGCACATTCAGGCAGAGAGGAGCCCTGTCCACGAGCGGCTCTGTAGAACTGGCTGAGTCCTGTCAGGAAGCCTGGTTTACGTTTATACCCTGGCTCTGACACAACACAGGGCAGACTGAGCGAAGGGGAGTGAGGTACCCAGGATCCGTGATGAGGACCCTAGGGCCTGTGGCTGGGAGGAGGCTAAGCCAGTCCCCAGGGTACCAGGAATGCTCTGCACCTCTGTAGCCACCCAGGACACCGGGTCCACTTGGTACGGAGCAGGCTGTCCCGGGGGATGCTCGGCTATTGCCCCCCTTGTTCCCTGGGTGTGGGGAATGAAGCTTAGAGCAACTTCCGGATTCTGTGGTATGGCACTTAGACTCCAGGAAGCTGCTGTTGAGTGGCGGCGGCTGCCCACTGTCCTAGGGTTAGGAACATGCACAGCCTCACTGGCCGCAGACACCATGGCCCCCAGGCCCTCAGGCTGTCCTGCCTGCCTGGCTCTTCCTCCTCCTTGTTCCAGAGTGACAGACGGACCTCCATCTGGTCTTGGCACATGGCATGGGCCACCACTAGGACTTCCTCCTGTACACCTGAGCATGCCCCATGCAGAGCCCAACTCCCCTGCCCCCCACGGGCCCCTCATCCCTCCGGGGGTCCCCCAGCAGCAGGTGCCTTGGGATGTGTCTGTCCTCTCCCCCCATGACTGCAGAGGGTGCCGGGAAGGCGGCTGGGAAGCAGGATGCCTCTGGGGCTGGTGCGGCCCTGGCTCTAATTAAGCCCTTGCCAGTTTTGACTTGGCAGCCTCTGTGCCTCCCGCAACACCACATTAATGTCAGGTTGATGTCCGGCAGCTCCCGGCTCCCAGCTGCAGCAGCTCCAGCACTTTCTCGCCCCGGTCCTGGGTTTGTTCTTTGAGATCCAGCCCGGAACAAGCCCCTCGGAGGGCAGTGACCTGGGAGACCGATCACATGTTCAGGGGCACTCCTGCATCCGAGGGGGCGCCGATGTCCCAGCTAGAACATAGTACCCTTGGCAGCTGCAGCCATGCCCACTGCCCGAGATGGGACGCCATCTGACTGTGCTCAACAGGCATGGGGTCCATACAGGGGACAGCTCCCGTCTGACTTCACAGCCACATGCACCCACCTTGGTGTAGACACTGCCTCTGCTGTAGTTTTCACCTCGCCCTTTCCGCCAGTGTAGACAGAGCCTCCTCCTCCAGTGTTGCTACTCGCGGGGCTGCAGGGAGCGATGTCCCAGTAGGTGCCCGGGCTCCCCCCATGTGTCCCCACTGCCACCCCATGTGACTTGCTTTCTCTTCTTCCTGGCAAGAGTGGACCAGGCCCTCCACGGCCACCCCACTGGGGGAGAGCCTCTCCCAGCCCCAGGCAGCCGCTCCTGCAGAAGGTATGGGAGGGGTGGGAGGACCTTGCCCTTGGAGTGAGAGTGACAGGTGGACAAGCAAGGGGCCAGCCAGGAATCGGGAGGGAGAGGTGGAGAGAGACTTTCCTGAAGGGTGGAGCTCTTCCGGCTTTGTCCCAACCACCGGTCAATGCTTAGAGATGTCCCGGGGACATCACCGACAGCCCCAGGCCCCTCCATCTGGGGACTTCAGAGTCAGATGAGCCTCTGCAGCCACCCTGGCTCCAAGGATGCTTGGGCAGCTAAGGGAGCCCAAGGAGGGCTTCCTGCAGGAAGAGGTACAGGTGACCTAGAAAGAGGGAGAAGGTGGCTCATGCCAGGTGCCAGATGGCAGGACCTGGCTCAGGACAGCAGAGAGCCTGGAAAGGAGGGCTGGGGAGAGAGGTGAGAGGCTGCACCACCCTACGCCGGGCGTGCATAGATGGGCATGTTCAGAAATGGCACAGGTGGCACCTGACCCTCCAGGAAGGACGTGGTCTCCGTCCAGGCTGGAGTGTCCCCATCTGTACCCTGCCCTGGCCCTCCAACCTCAGCCATGAGCAGCTTTACATGTCCTTTGCTGGGAGGTACTTCCAGAGCAGGCCCTGCTTTTCGGGGAGGGTCTCAAGGCTGGGTTCCCACACCAAGGCATCCGCTCTGGGTAGGGACACAGAAAAGATGGGGCCAGGGGCAGGGCAGGACTGCCTTCCCTACAGTCTCCCAGAGGGGAACTGAGGCAATGACAGACCTGTGGCATCAGTCTGGAATACAGGGCTGCAGGCTGCACCCGGGACCTTGGCAGCACGTGCGAGCGGGAAGCTGGATTTTGAAGTCAGCTTTAGATTCAGAATGGATGCTTGGGAGGGGTGGGATATTGGCCAGGACAGGTGCCACTCACAGGAATGAGCTGGCATGTGTAGCTGGTCTTGGGGCAGAGGACCCCGGGGCAAGGTGCCTCCTAGACCCCACCTAGGGACCCCGTGCCCTCCTTGTCTCAAAGCTGAGCAGGTGACAAGGCTGCCCCAGATGCAGGCCTGGACAGCCAACCTGCTCTGGGCAGCCAGAGCCCGGCCTACGAAAGCATGTTTCTTGTTCCTCCAAGCCACGGGCCCCTCCGCCACTGCCCCTGCCAAGGGCTCCAAACTGGCCCAGCTCAAGCCCAAATCTCCACACGTGATGCCCATTGAAGAATTCCCAGGTAAGAGCAAGGCCCAGCCCAGGTCAGCCCACACCAGTGGCGCTCTCTCCCCGCCACCCAGCCCTGGCCACCACTGGAAAACCACAAGGCAGGGCTCAGACCCACACTTACAGGGCCTCTGTAAGCACTTGCCCTGATCAGCTGGGTCAAGGTGAAGCTGGCTCTTCCCTCCCTCCCCAGGGAGCCGGGAACAGGTATGAGTCAGAAGCAACTTGGGCATCATGGCCTGGGGTGCTGGGCAGACACAGCAATGCCAGAAATAGCCTGCCCTGGCCCCCCCGGGGAGGAACCCAGGGGCGGGTCACACTGATGGACATAAAATCTGGGACAGCTGGGTCACTGACGGACACTGCCCTTGGGACTCGTGGAGGGCACCTCCCCTCTCTCTTGTCTTGGGAAGGACGAGTGAAGGCAGCAGGCTCTGGAAGGTCCTAGGCAGATGCCCACTGCCACCTCTTCCTGGCTCACCATCAAGGTTTTCCATGACCTTGACTGCAGTGGCCTGGGCCTCCATCTCCTTTCCCAGGAGGGTGGCCGTATCTCTTGCTGGGCAGTGGTGAAGATGTTGGATCCTCACAATGGATATTGAGGGACCACCAGGGAGGGACTCCCTCCTTCTCATCAAACCCTGCCCCCTCCTGGTAGTGGACGATCCCCCGCCAATCCCAGGGCGCCATGCCCCGCTGCCCCAGCTCCTGGCCAGTCCATGCTCCTGGGCTGTTGGGTAGGAATGGACAGAGAGCCACACGCAGGGAGGGGGAGGCACAGACATGGGATGGGCGACAGAAGCTGGGCCATGACCAGGGGACAAGGATACACCAAGGTACATACGCAAAAGGGCATTCACTCTCAGAGTCCCTCTGGTGCCAACCAGACTTTGAGGAAGCCAGGCAGATGGCTCTCCTGTCCCCCCATCATGTTCCAAAGCAGCAGTTTGAGGAAGCTCCTGGCCCATCCGTCTTACCCATGTCCACGCATGCGTCCATCTGCCTACAGATTCACCAAGGTTGCAGTGGGGAGTGTGTTGGCCCTGGGCATGCCCCCCGCCAGCTCACAGTCCAGCAGCCTGACCCTGTGATAACCCTGGCACTGCCTGGCCTGCCCCCAGGCCAGGTGGCACTTCCTGGGCAGGGCCTGCACCTGTTCTCCTTAGGGTGTTGGGAGTGATGCCCTTTCCCCTGTGCGTCCTGGAGGCAGGCCCTTCCTCGCCTGTGCCTCCATTTCCCCAAGTGCTCACTGACCCTCGCCGTCTCTCCCGCCCGGCCGGCCCAGACTGTGAGTGCTACGGCCACTCCAACCGCTGCAGCTACATTGACTTCCTGAACGTGGTGACGTGTGTCAGCTGCAAGCACAACACGCGTGGCCAGCACTGCCAGCACTGCCGCCTGGGCTACTACCGCAACGGCTCAGCCGAGCTGGACGACGAGAACGTGTGCATTGGTGAGCGCAGGGCCCCGGAGTCGGCCCGCCCGGGCTCCCGCCCCCAGGCCCCGAGAAGCAGGTCCAAAGCCCCAGGCTCACTTTGCTGAGCCCTCCCCTTCTCTGCGCCTTTTGCAAGGTTTATTTATTTGGAAGGCAGAGTTTTAGAGAGCAGGGAGGGAGGCAGATTCTTATCTGCTGGCACACTTGCCAAGCGGGGCTGGGCCAGGGCAAAGCCAGGAGCCAGGTGCTTCCTCCAGGTCGCCCATCTGGGTGCAGGGCCCTAGGCCCTTGGGCATCCCCCACTGCCTTCCCAGGGGTGTGAGCAGGGAGTTGGATTGGACCCAAACCAGTGCTGGCACGGGGTGCTGGTATCTCAGATGGCAATGTAACCCTGAGTGCCACAATGCCATATGCCCCAGACCAGGGATTTGTGAGCTGTTCTTGTGACTGAAACTTGCCTCCAAAGGCTTTCTAAGCAGAGGTGAAGTTTGTGGAGTTGCCCCTGCCCTGCTTGCTTCAAAGCTCTGCCTAAACTGCCTTTAGAGTTAAAGAGGAAATCTAGGAGGGACACGGCTGGGTTGGGCAGGTGACCACCAGCCAGCCAGCATCCAACAGCAGGCAGGGAGGAGCCCCAGTAGGCCGGCTCACCCTGCCCACCAGCCCCCTGGCCACCCCAGGCTGCAGTCCTCCCACCAGGCAGCTCTGACAGCTTACAGCTAGCGCTGTTAGCCTGCATCGGCCGGTGGCCTTCAGCTAATTCCATCAGTGCTGAAGCAATCCGCGTGGGATTGTGCTGTGACGTCACCCCGGGCCAGCTTGCAGACGCCCCGCAGCAGCCCTGGATCCGGTTAGAGATACCCCCACCCCAGCGCCCTCCTCCTCTCCTCTCAGCTCTGGGGCTTCAGCGGCCCCCAGCCCCCTCCCAAGAACAGAGATCCTGGTGGGGCAAAGGCCAGGGCCTGGAAAGGAGCTGCAGCTGGGGGTCACACCTCGCCCCCCTCCCCCCTCCCCGCCTGAGGACTCCGGGGCCATCTGACCACTTGCAGGAATTCTAGCTCCTTGGAGCTGGGAAGGCCAGGGCACGGGCTGGTGGGGGTGATGTGAGGCAGGCGGCTGAGCAGCCCTTGACCGTGTGCTGTCTGCCCGTGCAGAGTGTAACTGCAACCAGATCGGCTCTGTGCACGACCGCTGCAACGAGACGGGCTTCTGCGAGTGCCGCGAGGGCGCGGCCGGCCCGAAGTGCGACGACTGCCTCCCCACGCACTACTGGCGCCAAGGCTGCTACCGTGAGTGGGCACCTGCTACTGGGAGGGCAGCTATGGAAGGACAGGAAAGCCGGTACCTCCCCCGACCGGCAGAGGGTGAAAGGGCGTCCCCAGGCACAGGCGCCAGCAGGTGCAGAGCTCGGCAGTGGGGGAAGACAGCAGCCGGAGCCTGGGGAAGAGCTCTCCTAGACCAGCAGGGTTGGAGCTCAGGTGTGCGCTAAGTCCCCACCCTGGTACAGCAGGGGTTAGCCCGCACCCTTAAGGGGCTCGTGCACAACCCCCCGCCCCACTACCGCCTGCGTTAACCGCGTGCCCCCTCCCTCGCCCCTTCCCCCACAGCCAACGTGTGCGACGACGACCAGCTGCTGTGCCAGAACGGAGGCACCTGCCTGCGGAACCAGCGCTGCGCCTGTCCGCGCGGCTACACCGGTGTGCGCTGCGAGCAGGCCCGCTGCGACCTGGCCGAGGGCGGCCTGGACTGCGACGGCGCGCCCGGGGCTGCCCCGCGCCCGGCCACCCTGCTCGGCTGCCTGCTGCTGCTGGGCCTGGCTGCTCGCCTGGGCTGCTGAGCCCGGGCGGCGGTGCGCAGAGGGCTGCCCGAGCTGCTCCCCGGTGCTACTCCGCAGGGTCCCTCGCCGCAGCCCGCCCCTGCCTTCCTTTCCCCCACCTCACGCGCAGCACTGGACTCTTGCTGGCCCTCCCCGCACCGGCCGGCTCCCCGCACCGGTCCGGCTCTTTTGTATTCTTTTTCCTTTGCAACGCCCTCCACCCCCAGACCCCGGCACCGCCCTCCCCCAGGCCTGGTGACCCTAGAACTCACCGCCTGGGGGAGGGGATGCGAAGGGGGCTTCTTTTTGGAGGGCGGGCAACTGCGTTTCCTAGAGAACTATTTTTGTTCCTGTGAACTGTCCCCCTGTGGCGGGGAGCGCGGGAGGCAGTGCCCGCGGGGTGGCTGCTGGAGTGTAACCGCAGAGTAAAATGCCCCCTGCTGCCTCCCGCCCGTGTCCGTCCGTGTGTCAGTCCCGGTGGGCTGGGGACAGCTGCGGGGCTTGCAGTTCACCCCGCGGGGCGAGCAGGTGTGGCCAGGCTGCCGGACACCACATGTTAGAGGCTTCCAAAAGCCAAGAGGGGGAAAAAATCCCTAGAGATCCCTGGCCCGGTGCTAGGCAAATGCCCAGCGCCGTGCTGTGTCCAGATGGCCATGATGGGTGAGTATTGCAGGGCCTGCTGGGGGCTTCGGGCCATGGCTAGTCAGAACCCACAGTTGTGGGTGGCCACCGTCTTCCTGGCTGCAGGGTGCACCCCCTCTGGAGGGTCCCCCAGCCCCACTCACCCCACCGTCAGCCTCTTGTACCAGCTCCTGCCAGCAGTTTCCAGGCAGGGCAGCCCAGACCTCAGTTCCTCCCTGGAGTCACCAGAGCTGAGCTGAGGCCTTGGGATTAAGAATGGATTACAGCGGGGGGGGGGGGGGGGGGGGGGGCCCGCGCAGGTCATGGCCAGGGAGGCCCAATGCTGCCCCCTACTGGCCTTCTTGGCTCCCAGCACCAGGCTGCAGGGATCAGCTGCTACATCCCTCGCCCTGCTATACCCACACCCACCCACCCACCCTCGGCACTCGGCCCTTCCCCAGGGACGGCACAGGTGTCGGGTCCAGCAGAGACCAGTATGTGCCAAACAGGGCCTGAGCTGATGGCAAGTGTGGAATCTGGTTCTCGGCTGCGGGCCAACTCACCATGCCACAGCGTCCACTGGGGCCCCGGGGTACCAAAGTTTCCCTGCATGACCCAGTTCCCACCCTGGATGCCAGCTGCCCCCCTTCCCCCCATCCATGAAGACTGCAGTTCCCACAGCCTCTGGCCATGTTCTGCCCCTTCTCAGAGCTGCACCCAGCCCTGCCTTACGTGAGCAGGGGGCAGGCGGGCTGGAGACCAGCCCCTTCTGGTCATCAAGGCAGGGGGTTCAGAGCAGCCCGGCTCTGGGTCCCCCTGGAGCAGAGGCTGAGTTCTGGATCTTGGCAGAGAGAGCCTGTGAGGGAAGTGGGGAGAGCCCGGCTGGGGCCTTCCACCTGCACCACTGCCCTCGGGTGGCTGAACAAACCCCTTGTGCAGAATCGTTGGGTCTGGGGACCCTGCCGGTGGGAGGCTGTGGGCTGGAAACCCACAGCTTCCAGCACATACACAGGGTTACATGCACACACATACACACAGGGGCACACACACATGCATACCTCACTCTGTTTCCCAGGGTGCAACCCAAGAAGCCCCTGGGAGCTCTGGGAGGAGAGGGGCCCTCGTGGGTCCCAGTTCTGGCCACCCTGACTCAGCTGAGCATGGCCCAGGTCTGGTGAGAGCCCAGGGGTGGTGGAGTGTGTTGTATGTCAAAGTGTGAGCTCTGGTCCCCGGGGACTGCCGAGGCCCTGACCTCAGCCGGAGGGCAGAGGAACGTGGTCAGTGGCCATTTGGAAAACTCTGCCATCTTCCAGGTGGCCCACAGGAGAAAGCAAGGGCAGCAGTGCAGAAGTGGCAGAGCCACCTCCTAGTCAATGGCGCACCTGTCCCCAGGTGAGCTCATGTGTGACGCCCAGTGTCAACAGCATGCCACAGACCAGTAACATGGCTTTAGTAACCGGGGCCCAAGGGAGGGAGGGAAGCTCCTGGCTCTCACCCTCACTTGGAACCAAAGCTTCAGCCTTGGCCTCTCCAGCCTCAGAGCTGGCGGTCTTCAGTACAGCACCACGGCCTCAGTGTGGCTCGTGAAGGCTGGGGACCCCCTTCCACCCAGCACGGATCCCATACCCAAGGTTGAGAACTGCCTTGGGCAGGTACTGCGCCCTTTTTACAAAGGGGTAAGTGGAGGCTGCGAGCAGGAACGTGACTCGCCTAGAGTCCCAAATGCTCAGGAGCTGCGTCGTACATTCCAGCCAAGGCTTCCTGACCCCAGGCCAGGCATCCACATGGGGACACCTACCCACCTTCTGCCTTCACCCCACGGCCAAGCCAGGCCGACCGAAGAGCCCTGGAGAGCTGGGCTTCACCTGGGAGCTGCCCCGCCCACCCCTAAATAAGCAGGCTGTACCACCTCGGGGGTTCTGGCAGTCCCTACGGTTCCCAGGTGTCTATGGGTTCCTGGGCAGCAGTGCCCTCACCCCAGCACACCTCCAGGCCTGCGCCCCTTAGCAGGGAGGCTTGTAGGGAAGGGAGAGAACGCAGAGAAGGGGAGGCCATCAGGATGTTTAAGTCAGCTTCGGCACGACCTTCCAGTCACAGCCAGAGACTGTGCCCTGCACTGCCCCTCTGCAGCCGCCAGCCAGAGACTGTGCCCTGCACTGCCCCTCTGCAGCCGCCAGCCAGAGACTGTGCCCTGCACTGCCCCTCTGCAGCCGCCAGCCAGTGCGGGTTCCACCTGCCCCTGGTTGAGCTGGGGCTTCCCCTCCCTCCCTTGAGCCCTGACCACTAAAGTCATTTTACAGCCAGACACGCTGAGACTCCTGACCTCCAGGGACCTAAACTCCACAACCCCAGGTGATTGTAGCAGCTGGCGTGGATTGGGAGAGCTGGGAAGCCAGGGATTCTGCCTGTGTCCCCGCCGGGGAGCCCCGGGAACTCCAGCTACTGTCCTCACCCCCAGGCCCAGCTCTTGCCAGCCTCCCCAACAAACCCCTACCACGGGGCCACCCTTCGTGTCCAGCATCTACAGTTCCTTCCAGGAAGAGGGGACAGGGGCAGAGTGAGTAGCACAGAGGGTGAGTAAGCCAGCTCAGGGTTACACAGGCCAAGAGCAAACTGCGAGCCCGAGCTTACCACAGCCATCTGCTCAGGCGTGCACCCGCTTCCGAGTCGGCTGTTCCAGGTGTAGCCAGGGGCAGGGGTCAGGGAGCTGCTTGGGATGACACATCCCATCGTGGGGGCCTGGATTCCGCTTCCAGCCCTGCCCTCTAGTCCAGCTCCCTGCTAGGGTCCACAGGTGATGCTGCCAGTATGTGCTGCCCTGCCACCCACCCATGTAGGATGCCCAGGTGGAGCTCCTGACTCCTGGCCCAGCCCTGGCTGTTGCAGGCCTTTAAGGGGTGAACCCATTGGGTGGGAGTTCTGTCTCTCAAATGGAAAAATCAGTACTCTCTCCCCCAACTCAGCAACATACCCAGGACACCCGAGGAAGGGGCCTCCAGGGGGTAGTGACCCTGGGAGCCCCCAAGGCTGGCTTTCCCAGGCCACTCGGCCAGGGGGTGCACCTCACAGGGCAGGCTTGGCAAGTGTCTGCCCACTCACCTAAGTCACCCAAGGCCAGCACATGCTCACCGCCTCTTCACTGTGCCTGGAGGCAGCTCATCAGGGGCCAGCTCACAGATGGTGGGTACCACAGGAACACACGGCTGTGTGTCACAGCACCCTGCAACCACACAGGGGACAATCAGCTAACGCTGCGCGTCTCAGGAAGTGTTTCTGTCCTTAAGTGAGCACCACCACGTGCCAGGCACAAGCGCCAGGGACATTCAACCCCTGTCCCCGGCCTTCCCAGCTACCCTCACTATGGCCTATCTCTGGCAAGAGTACGGAAGGGCTGTCCTGCACTAGGCCGCCAGAGGCCCTATCTGTGACAGCAGTGGCTCTTAGACCCAGGGATCACAGTCCCCACCTTATCCTAAGGTGTACGCCCGTCTTGCCTGGAGATGAAGGGAGGACAGGGCAAGGCCAAGGGCACGGGTTCCAGGCACAGCAGAGTCTGCAAGGGACTTGCACCTGTGTAACAGGTGGGAGGCCCAGCCAGTTGCCACCTCTGTGCATGGTTCTCCCTCTGGTCACTCGCTCAACTGCTCTACTTTGAGCCCTGATGGTGCCCCCCGCACTGGGGGTCCAGGGCGCTTGCTGCCGAGTGGGACATGGTCCACACCTGGGGCAGCAAAGGAGTCTGGCCGAAGAGCTAGCCTGTGTCCTTTAAGGGACAATTACACTTCCTGCAGTACAACCCCAGGAGTGCAGCAGGAAGCAGCGGGGCAGGTGGCATTGTCACGCACCTGCCCAAAGCCACAGCTGTCCGAGAAGGAGTGCTGGGCTGTGGGTGACAGCCACGTGGGTCCCTCAGGTCACCACCTACCACTCAGTGCGGGGCTGGAGAGGCTGCTGAAGGGGCGGCTAGCACTGAGGATGATTTACTGTTCTACACTGGCCTGCAGGAACGGGGACCCCACACTGGCAGATTCCTTTCCCGACAGCGTTCCGGGGTGAGCGCCACCAGGTAAGGTCTCCACAGTGGCTCACGACCATGCTGCATGTGGAGAACTCCGCAGAAAGAGAAAGGAATTCAGAAATGGAAAATACAGTATCTAAAATGCAGAAAGCTCACAAATCCATCCATGAACTTGAGGATATGTTGATACAAGTTGCCCAATTTGGAAAAAAAGATGCTGAAGCAAAATCAAAAGATCCCCAGAGAAATCCCAGCCGCAAGCCCAGTCAGCACGGTCGTCTGAGAAGGTTGATCTGAGGGGGTGGGGGCGAGACAGCATGCTCTGCCCTCCACTGCTTTAACCCCAAACATCTGCAACAGCTGGGGTTGGGCCACGACAAAGGCAGGAGCCCCCACTCCATGCAGTCTCCCACGTGGGCAGAAGACCCACATCCTTGGCCAGGACCGGCGGGCATGTCAGCAGCACAAAGGTCCATCAGGAGTAGCTAGCACCAGGCTGATACTCCAACATGGGATGTGAGGATCCCAAGTTGGCAACTTAACCCACTGTACCGCAACAGCTACCTAGTAGATTAATTTGAAGAAATAATGGATAAGAAAACCTTTTAAAAGTACTTATTTTGGGACCAAGCACAGTAGCCTAGTGGCTAAAGTCCTTACCTTGCATGCACCAGGATCCCATATGGGCACTGGTTCATATCCTGGCAGCTCCACTTCCCCCCATCCAGCTCCCTGCCTGTGGCCTGGGAAAGCAGTTGAGGACAGCCCAAGGCCTTGGGACCCTGCACCTGTGTGGGAGACCCAGAAGAAGTTTCTGGTTCCTGGCCTTGGGATTGGTTCAGCTCTGGCCATTGTGATCACTTGGGGAGTGAACCAGCAGACAGATCTTTCTGTCTCTCTTTTCTATAAATGTGACTTTGCAATAAAATTTTTTAATTTTCAAAAATTTATTTTGAGAGTTGCAGAAAGAGGACAGAGCTTTCACCCACTTGGCTCATGCTCCAGATGGCCACACCGCCAGGACTGGGTGGGTCAGGCTGTAGCCAGAAGCCAAGCACTCCGTCCGGGTCTCCATGTGTCGGATAGGGCCCAAGGACGTGACCATCTTTTGCTTTTTCCCAGGCCATTAGCTGGATTGGAAGAAGCAGAGCATCTGGGACACAAATCAATGCCCATGTGAAATGTCACTGTCGTAGGTGGTCACTTCACCCACTACGCCACAACCCCAACCCCAAAGATAACCTCAGTGGTTTCTAACTCTGCTTCCCCTGCTGCACAAGGCCAAGTCCTACTTATTTTTCCACAGTGGATCTACTTCTAAATTTTATTTTTACTATTTTTTAAGCATTTACTTTTATTTCCAAGATTTCTGGAGAAAGAAGACGGACAGATCTTCCATCTATTGACCTACTCCTCAAATGGCTGCAATGGAGAGGGCCCCTACACAGCCGGGGCTTCTTCCAGCTCTCCATGCAGGGGCAGGGCCCGAGGACTTGGGCCATTTGCTGCCCTCCCAGGTGCATTAGCAGGGAGCTGGAAGGGAAGTGGAGCAGCCGGGATTCAAACCAATGCCTGCATGGGATGCTGGTACTGCAGGCGGAAATTAAACTTGATCCACCACAGTGTAATTAGACACTAACAGAGTTTGTTGAGCGCTTTGCATATGACTGTGACTTTGGGGGTTAATTTTCAAAGTATCAGTTTGGGGGGACACACCCACTTTCAGACCTCAGCAAGGGCAGATGGCACTGGTGCACTTGTCATCAGGAAGCCCAAGCACAGGCCAGGGGTCACGGGCAGTGCGGCTCCTCCAACTTCAAGTCCCTTGAGGTAAGAAGGGCGGACGAAGCTGCTCTCTCCCTCCATCTCTAACTCTGCCTTTCAAATCTTAGGAAAAAAACTGTGGCCAACCCAAAACTGGAACTGTCCACTGGGGCCTCTAGACACATGCACATATACTCCATTGGATGGCCACAAAACCCACGTGGGAAGGGGCTGCCTAATGCTGCAGCCTGACCCTGGGGGAGGCAGCTGGGGTGCCTGGCTTGGCACCGCCTCCTGTGCCATGGGTGACGGCAACCTCAGCTATGGAGGGCTCCCCTGGGTACAGAAACTGCCTCTGTGGTCACACACCACTGTAAATCGTTGGGCCTGAAGCAAGGCTTTATTTTTCCTTCCTGAATTATTTATCCCTCAATGAATGGCGAGGCCCAGGAGGCGGGGGTGGTGTGGCAATGAATCCTGCAAATGAAGTGACCATCACACGGCACTCCGGCCTCGCTGGTCCTCTGGCAGATTTACGTTTCCATCCGACTCCCTCTTCAGTAACCCGTGCGTGCACAGCGAGAGCCAGGCCGGCTGGACTGCGCTGTGTATGCACGCTTGGGGTGCCGCGTGAGGCAAAGGTCAGGTGCTTCTCCAAGTGTAGGAGAGCCAGGCTGTGTTTTCTGAAGCTGTTGCTTTGCCAAGAGCGCATCCCACTTGTATGACGTGCACTGAGCACCTGCATCCTCCCACACTGTGCCCCGCAGCGCCCCACACAGGCCGTGTCATGTCCTCTCCCCAGTCCAAGAGCAGGGGCAGCGAGGGCAGTTACCACTCCTAGCGGTGCCCACAACAATGGCACCTTCAATAACAAGCAACTGGCAGCCCACAATAGCACTCTTGTTTCTACTTTTTAATTCTGCCATTTTCCCTGAAAACTCAGGTTTTAACAAAGAGGACTACTGCTGCAGCCCAGTCCAGGGAACAGAATGTTGGAGGCGCAGCAAAACAACTACTTTAGAAAAGAATACACTTTATAGGAGATTATTCGCAGGTACTTAACGAATTCGCTCCAGGTAATTCACAAAAACATGTCATGGAATCAACTGTGCACAATAAACCAAAGGCAAATTATCTACAAATCAGCCAACTGAGGTTTTCAGTAGAAAATATTCACATTCAAGTGGCAGTGTCAGGAGACACGGCAGTGTCTTCTCCCGCTGTGCAAGGCCAAAGGCCAGGCTGACTTCCCCGCTTACAGTAGGTTGTGCTGTCCCCGGCCCCAGTGCTGGGGCAGCTCTGGCAGGACTGGCACGACTTGTCCCGCTGTGTTCTGCTGGCACAGGACACAGGCCTGGGCTTCACCAAGGATGCCGTACTCCCGATGCTAGTGCGATCAGGCCTGACAGGTAAACTGATGGCTGAACACGGCCCGAGCCCGGAGATCAGCCTGAAGCGGACAGTCATGTTCTGCCTGCAAAGTATTCTGGGGAAAACTCGCCTTCTAATTTGCATGTCCGTGTGAGGCAAGAGACACGTCCTTACGGCGCTTGCTCTGCCATCCGCCTTCACAAGCGCAGTTTCTGACCTCTGCCAGGGGACCAGGCTGCTTCCACTCACACTGAGGTTTCCTGCCCAAGGCCCATGTGGGCTCCCCGAGCCAGTGCCAGCTGTCCTGCACCATCTTACCCTGCCCAGCCCAGCCAGCACAGCTCTGGGGCTGCCTCTGGAGACCAATCCCTCCAGGCAGCCACCGCTGAGAGGGCGGAGTGCTCCGCCAGCAAGAAGCAGGCCCCCACCCGACGGCATCGAGCCACATGCTCACCAGCACTGCCCTTCACCACCACGTGGTCCCTCAACAACTCGCCAGCCAGACTCTTTTGCTAGCTCCCTTGGTAAAAGCATTTCTTTTTAGCCTGGAATAGTCTTTAGCTGGATCGGATCGGTGGTTCTCATACTGCCACGCAGCTCCCCAGGCCCTGCCAAGACCCATGAGATCTGGAACACGAGGCAGCTGTGGGTGGCTAAGGGGACAAGATCCTCCAGCAACAAGGCGTGAGACACACTGGGTCCACAAGGCTCAACGGCCTGGGGACATCTTAGTGACAGGTAAACGAACTTGTCACACAAACGGAATGAGCTATGCCAAGCTGTCTTGCCACCAGGCCTGTGCCTAACAGAACTGCGGCCCCAGGAAGACTCTGTGGTTGTTTCTAAGTAGAATTAGAGTCCCCCAGTCCTGCCCTGAGTCCCCAGCACTAACTCAGCTTGCCCAGCTGTTCTGCCTATGGTGGGTGACAACAGTTCAGATATGCCCTTCTCTTACCTTTTCTTAAAGTTTGTTCTCTTGAAAAACCATTCCATTTTAAGCAGGGAAAAGAAAACAGTCTACTAGAATAAACTTTCAAAGTATTCGTTATTTGCTGTACAAATATACATTTCAACTTTGCAACACTCACTATGGCATCAGCTTCTAACAGAATGACATTCAGTCCGCAACTTCAAGGACACAGCGCGACCCAAATGGGCCCTCTGAGAACTCTCCAACCGACAAATAAACAAACAAAAACCCTGAAGGTGAGCAAGAGGCTCAGGTGTCAGGACGCAGGATCCATGTGCCCCAACACACGCGAACCTGGCTGGATGGCGCGACAGGCTGTCACCGGAGCGCCCAGTCATGCCCGTAGCGTCCAGTCCAGCCACGGGCTCCACTATAGCCTTCTTCTTTTGGGGCCGCTCTCCTCCTTCTCCCATCTCCGCCTGTCCCAGCTAGAGGCCCTGCGGGTGTAGTACCTCTCGTGCCCATCCTCTCTGAAGGCCCTGGCCTCCCTCTGGGGGCACAGCTCCTCTTCCAGTTCATACCTTCTCCTGCTGGTCAGAGCATCAGGGCCAGCACCCGGAGGCCCGCCCTGCCCGTACGGTCTGTGGGTGCTCGGGACAGTTGCTCGGCCAGCGGCCTGCTGCACAGCCCTGCCTGCATCCTGTCGCGCCACAGGAAAGCCGGGCTCTCCTGAGGGGGGTGTGGATCCAGGATGCTGAGGGCTCACTGGCTGAGGCTCCTGTAGGAGAGCCCCCTTGGCCTCGGTGGCCATCCTCCTGAGCAGCCGTGGGTCCCGGAGCTGCTCCTGGCCTGGGAGCCTCTCAGGGATCACGGGAGTCACAGGGTTTCCTTTGGTGTCGGAGAGCGTGTGGTACAGAGAGGATGCAAAGGATGTCCTGGCCAGGCCGCCGTCGATCGCGCTGCTGGGCAGGCCGCCCTGGGGCCTGGCAGCCTCGGGCACGGCGGCCAGCGGGTGGCTCAGGCTTCTCTGGAGCACAGGCTTGAGTTTCAGGATCTTCATGGCATCATGTCTGTAGTTTTTGTCACAGGTCTTGATAATGGCACCACGCTTCTGGGCGTCCTGAATCAGCTGGTTCCAATGCGGATTTTCCTTGAAACAAAAGGGAAAGGCAATTAGGCCCCAAGGAGACACACGGTGAGGGGGCAGGCTGGCAGGCAGCGGCTACCTCTCTGAACAACACGGCCGCCTTCGAGAATGAATGCTTAACAATCCATTTCCCACACGCAAGGCTGAAAGGAAAAGCTAACCCTGAATCCAAGATGACAAAGTCGGTTACTTAAGAAACAACTGCAGCCATTTGCGTCCACTGTCCTGCACCTGCACGGCAGGCGTGGACACGTGGACCTGCCCGGGGCATAGTAGCGCCTAGACAGCTACTGAAAAGTCAGAAACACAGCCCCTTGGCTGGGCTCAGCACGTCCACGGTTACACAGGACCAGGGGTCACTGTCGGGGACGGGGCAGACGCGCGCTTGGTCATATGGAGTGTATCACCAGCCTCACGCAGGCCAGAAGTCCTGAGCGGACCCGGGCCTGCAGGATGACTGCGCAGTCTTACAGAGCCCACATGGCTGAAGCAGTCCCGTCTGCCTTCTGGTCCTTTCCGGGGCAGCGGCAAGGATGGGAAGCCAAGCACGTGGGAGGTGGACCCTGCAGTCTGCGGCTCCCCTGCCTCCTCCTCGGCAGCTTGCTGCTGCGGCACAGCCACCACAACCTGCATCTCCTTAGAAAGCAGCAAACCCTGAGGAAGATGAGGGTATAGGAAGAGGAAGGCGCAGCTGGCCTCCAGCGGGCTCAGGAGGGTGGCTTGCCGCGGGACTCTGTCTGAGTCGGTCAACCAGAGCCCACCCTGCTTCCTCCCCATCTCACCCGGATGTGCTCTGCTTAAGCACACTGCTGACTCCAGGCTGCCCTTCGCTCAGGCAGCAATTACCACGTACCTCTCCTGGGCAAACCTGTGACTGGGCACCATCAGCCATTACGGCACCTCATCTGGAGACAGGTGTCTGGCCTAGCAGTTAAGGTGTGAGGACACTGGCAGATTCCGCCCTTGGCTCTGACCCTGACCCAGCTACCTGCCAACAGAGGCCCTGGAAGGCATCTGGGAGACTTAGCAGACCAGAACACACTCCAGGAAGCTATGTGTTTCTCAAATATAGATTTTTTTTCCATCTTGCCTGAAAACCTTCCATAGGACATATTCAAGCAAGCAAGCACCAGCACTAAGAGGCGTAGAGTGGAGACGAGGAGGGTCTCAGAACAGGGGTGGAGGACACCGCGGGGCCAGAAAATGATGACCTGGGACTGGGAGCCGGAAGTCAGGGACTGCAGCCGTGGCTCAGTCCACGGTTTCATTTGTACTCTTGCACGTAAGTGTGTACCAAGAGATGTGAGAGCACAGCGAAAGCCCTAAGATGATCCTTTCAAGAAAGAGATCAAAGCTGAAAGTGTAACTAAAGCACCGTCGCACTTTGTGAACGGCACACAGCCTTGCTGAGCGTGGCGGCAGCAGCTGGGTTTGGCAAACCTTGCTAGGTGCTGACTCCACACGACAGTCTGGGGCTACCCGAACTCACGGACTGCAGGCAAGCCCCGTGACTGGCAGCTGCAGGCAGGCACACACAAGCACACCCAGGCTCCCACTGGGCTCCTGAGGCCCTGGCCCGGGGAAGCAGACGCTCTATTTCTGCCAAGCCTATTGCACTAATCTTGGTCCTTAATCTAATCCTAAAGACTCAAAACTGGTTCTGAGGAGGAACTATTCATCTTGGCTTCTCACAGTAAGTCAGGCACCGAGGAAATGATTCCATTTCTTCAAGGGAAACTAGATTGAAGATTTTTTTTAAGATTTATTTTTATTGGAAAGGGCCTGGCGGCATGGCTTAGTAAGTCCTCACCCTGAATGTGCCGGGATCCCATATGAGCACCCATATGGGCGCTGGTTCTAATCCCAGCAGCTCTTCTTCCCATCCAGCTCCCTGCTTGTGGCCTGGGAAAGCAGTCGAGGACGGCCCAAAGCCTTGGGGCCCTGCACCCGTGTGGGAGACCTGGAAGAAGTTCATGGCTCCTGTCTTTGGATCAGCGCAGCACTGGCTGTTGCACTCACTTGGGGAGTGAATCATTGGTTGGAAGATCTTCCTCTCTGCCTCTCCTGCTCTCTGTATATCTGACTTTCCAATAAAAATAAATATATCTTTTAAAAAAAAGATTTATTTTTATTGGAAAGTAAGATTTACAGGGAGAAGGACAGACAGAAAGATCTTTTGTCTGCTGGTTCACTCCCCAAGTGGCTGCAATGGCCAGAGCTGAGCCAATCCAAAGCCAGAAGCCAGGAGCCTCTTCTGAGTCTCCCATGCGGGTGCAGGGGCCCAAGGTTTTGGGCCATTCTTGACTGCTTTCCCAGGCCACAGGCAGGGAGCTGGATGGGAAGCAGAGCAGCAGGGATTAGAACCAGCGCCCATATGGGATCCTAGTGCGTGCAAGGTGAGGACTTTAGCCAGCAGGGGACAATGTGACAATGTCTGCACAGCCCACCGTGCCGTGGGCTCAGGTCAGGAGTCACTCAAGTGAGACATTACTAAGAGCCAAATCTCCAAGAACAAATTAAACATTATCAAAAACTTACAATATGCTTAGGTTTTGTTCAAATGTACAAAGAGTAACCTGTAAGTCTGTTATGTGAATAGCAAAAAAACTGTTTTTTTAACATTCCAATCTTTAGAAAAATTCTTTGTTTTGAGTTAAGCACAAATTCACAGAAGCCCAACAGTGAGCTGCACAGCAGGCCGGCCCAGGGACTTTACCTACACCAACAGGAAGGGAAGCACCACGTCAGGGACAGAAAAGACTCCTGCAATCTCCACGTCTTACAATGTCAGCGGATGAGAAACACTCCCTAGTGACCCGCACACTCAGGACATGCTTTTCATACGAATTCTTGCGGGCGCACAGCACCGCAGCAGGCCAGAGCGTGGACTGCACTGCCCTCTGGTGGCACTCACCTAAACGGGGACGTCACGAGCGGACTGCTCTCTTTGGAAGGATGAGCTTGTGGAACAGACAAGCCGGTGCTGCACAGCTGGGACGCAGTCCCAGGGCAGGCCTGCGGGAGCGGGAGGGCCTGTTCTGGTAGAGGCGGGCTCCAGGCCAGCGCACTGAGGCCACACTCAGTGAACAGCACTGAGCTGGGTGCCTGAAGCCCAGCCTGGACCTCTCACGCCCTCTGGTGGACAGCTCGAGCATTCACTAAAAGCCATGTGTGCATTTATTACACCCTCTAATCCTGTGGCTTCCAGGTATGCACCTACCATAAGGGTCCTCAGATGCCCAAGGATAAAGAGGCTGTACTTGGCTCGCGTGATAGTGACATTCAATCGCTGCAAACTTGCCAGGAACCTAAGCAATAAAAAAAAAAATTATTCCATCTACAGAACCACTTAGCACACTTACAAGACACGTACAATGTTTTCATCAGCTTCTCCAGTGCTCCTTCCACTTCCTTAATCATGGGCACTCAGGCCTGGCATGATGGCTCAAATTCACTAATTCCCCCCTGGAAACACGGGCATCCCATATGAGCGCCAGTTCATATCCTGGCTGTTCCACTTCCCCTCCAGCTCCCTGCCTGTGGCCTGGGAAAGCAGTCGAGGACGGCCCAAAGTCTTGGGACCCTGCACCCGTGTGGGAGACCCAGAAGAAGCTCCTGGCTTCAGATGGGCTCAGCTCCAGGCATTGCAGCCATTTGAGCGAGCCAGCAGATTTGGAAAATGTCTTTTCTCCTCTCTTTAAATCTGCCTTTGCAACAGAAATAAATAAATCTTTTTAAAATAATCCCAGTGCTAGGCCCGGAGGCATAGCCTAGGAGCTAAAGTCCTCGCCTTGAATGCCCCAGGATCCCATATGGGCGCCGGTTCTAATCCCGGCAGCTCCACTTCCCATCCAGATCCCTGCTTGTGGCCTGGGAAGGCAGTCAAGGACAGCCCAAAGCTTTGGGACCCTGCACCTGTGTGGGAGACCCAGAAGTTTCTGGCTCCTGTCTTTGGATCGGCATAGCATCGGCCGTTGCAGTCACTTGGGGAGTGAATCATTGGATGGAAGATCTTCCTCTGTCTCTCCACCTCTCTGTATATCTGCCTTTCCAATAAATAAATAAATCTTTAAAAAAAAAATCCCAGTGCTACCTTAACTGTGCCCCCACCCAGGGCCCATAGGAGCAGCTCCCACACAAAGCAGGGTGGAGTCAAAGCCCTGGTGCTTCACTGCCCAGGGATGAGATACTTAGAGATTCTATGTTTAGAATGCTTATTTGAAAGGCAGAGCCACAAAGGAATGGGGAGAAGCAGACAGAGATCTTGACCTTGCTGGTTCACTCCCCCAGATGGTCGTAACGGTCAGGCTGAAGTCCAGTTACCTGGACCGCCTCCCACGGCTTTTCGGGCACATCCGCACGGAGCTGTGACACAAGCGCAATAGCCGGGACTTGAACCCACACTGAAATGCGACACTGACACTCCAGGCAGTGGCTAAGCCACTGCTAACTCCAGTGCAAGTTGAAAGTACTCAGAAAATACCCTAGGGGCAGAGCCACGCATCCCAGCGTTAGGCTGCCTGCAGCCGCCATCATAGCACCTGCATCGGGTCCCTGGTGGATCCCTGGTGGGTCCCTGGTGGGTCCCTGAGCCCATCCCCTGCTAATGAGAACCGCACAAGCAGCACTGCAGGCTGCAACGTTCCAGTTCTGGCTTTGCCATGGGGAAACCCGGCCCAGGGTGCTTGGGAATGAATCAGCAGATGAAAGTTTGTCCTCTGTTAATTTCTGCTTTGTTGCCTCTTAAAAATGATTTAGTACCCTTAAAAATACACAAATTCCATTATTCATAAATTTGAATCTGCATATGTGGTTCAGATCCTGTGGCATTAGCACAGATGTACGCAGGCACTGAGTGGTTGGATGCTAAGCGGCCTTCACACGGGCACGCGGCCTGTCCCAAGGGGCTGGGCAGTTACCTTCACTTTCTGTAGGAATTAACAACCCAAATTAGCAACCTGCAATGCACACTCTATCTGCTTTCAATGAGAGAGAACGCGTCACGACCCCAAGGCCCCAGAGACCAAGGGAATGCCCTGCCCCTCTGTACCCTCAGTATGTGATGTCACAGCGAGAGAAGAAAACCACCTCAGGACAGTGACAGAGCTCTGTGAAACACCGAACCCAACCACTCAGCTCACTTACCAAAACACCTGCAGGGATTTCAAAAAATTTTTGCATCAAAATAAAATATTCTAATTTCATTTTTCCGCAAGCTTTTCAAAGTTCAAAGTTGACAGGACAGTAAGAAAAAAAGCTCAGTTTACCTGCAAGTCAGACAACTTCATGCTAATGAAGGAATTTTTTTTAACAGAAAATAAAACAAATGGTGGTGATCTCAATGGTGATTGGTGATGGATCTGGGCCTGGTCCACTGGCAGCTGACCAAAGCACAGGCACTTACTCACCCAATGGAGCCTTGCAGAGCATTGGCCCGGACACAGGTAACGATGACGCAGTCCTTCTGCCGCCCCTGGAAGGCGTCCACCGTGTCCACTTCCGCTGGTCTACGTAGCAGAGAAACAGTGACTCTAAGTAAAATCAGCCTTCAACACAGAGTCACATCAAAGCATTCCAAAGAACCATTCGCCATGATACTTCCGCGGTTAGTCCCAACCTCGCCCTCACCCCATGCCCTGGCAGTCACTAACCAATTTACTGTCTCTACAAAGATTTTTCTATACTGGAAATTTCATATGTGAATGGGATCATCACGACATGGCCTTCCAGGGCTGGCTCCTTTCCCCAACACACTTCCAGTTTTCTAGCTCGAGGCTCGTTGAGTACTTCCTGTTGGTTATTTCATTGCCCAGCCCTATCACGATTTATTACCCATTGACAACTGAAGGGTATTTAGGCTGCTTCCACTTCATGTATATTACGACTAATGCTGTGATCATCAGGTATTTATGCGAACTTTTTTCAAAAAAATCTTTCATGTATTTGAAAGGCAGTGTTAGAGATGGATTTTCCCATCAGCTGGCTGCCTGTCCGTGCATCAGTCAGGGCTGGGCCGGGTCTCCCCCGGAGCGGCAGCGACCCAGCACACTTGGGCCATTAGCTGTGGGCCTTTCAGGTGCATGCGCAGGAGGATGCATCACAGGACGACCTGCAACTCAAACCAACACTCCGCCTTGGGATGTGGCCGTCTCAAGCTCTGGCTTAGCAATGCCCAGGCCTATCTGAATATTCCTTCCAGTTTTTACAGGCGTGTAACTAGGAGTGGACGTTCTGGGTCTACCAGTCTACACACACCATGTCGGGGGCCAGGCAAAGCGGTGTCTAATCACTCCTTGCCTTACAGCCTCGCAGCAGTGTGCTGGTTGTGAAATTGTGCTCATCACAGTGCGATATAGTCTCCCTTGCTGTGATCTACACTTTCTTCACACTCACGTCTTTACTGATGAGTAGCCATTTCTGTATCTTCTTCTACAATATTTTCAAATCCTGGGCCTGGCATGTTGGCTCAATGGTTAAATCCTCCCCTTGCAAGCACTTGCAAGCACTAGGATCCCATATGGATGCCAATTCATGTCCCGGCTGCTCCACTTCCTATCCAGCTCCCTGCTTGAGGCCTGGGAAGGCAGTCGAGGACGGCCCAAAGCCTTGGGATCCTGCACCGCACGGCAGACCAAGAAGAAGCTCCTGGCTCCTGGCTTCAGATCGGCTCAGCCCCAGTCATTGTGGTCACTTGGGGAGTGAACCAGCAGACAGGTGATCTTGGCCTCTCCTTCTCTCTGTAAATCTGACCTGCCTTTCCAATAAAAATAAATTTTTTTTTCAAAAAGGGTAAAATCTTTTGCCAATTTCAAAAACTCCCTGTTCCTGCTGGACTTTCAGAATCCCTCACATCATCCAGACTCGAGCCTCCTGTTAGACACACAGTGGCACCTATTTTCTCTCATTATCGTCTTCTCTGAATTGTGTCCTCTGACATAGAAAAGCCTTTCATTTTTATGAAGTGCACTTTACCCATTTTCCCTCTGGTTATTTTGTGTTGTAGAATATCTAAAAATCTGTTGCTAATTTGATGCCACTGAGACGTCCCTCCATATTTGTTCATGATCTTTCTAATTTCCGGACAACAGAAAGGCAGCTGAAGTTCTGGTGGTTACTGAGCTGAACTTGGAGATCAGCCTGGATGCCCCACCTTGCCAAGAGCAAGCCTTCTACCCCGAGAATATGTCTATGTAGGTAAATTTCCTTCAACATTTACAGTGTACAAGTCTCTGACCTATTATATCTACATGTGTTTTTTCTTCTTAACAGGATTTATTTATTTGAAAGGCAAAGAGACACAGAGGTCTTCCATCCTTTAGTCCCCAATGATCATGACAGCCAGGGCTCAGCCAGGGCTCAGCCAGGGCCCCTCCAAGCAGTAAGGACACAGGTGCACAGTCAGGAGTGGAACCCGCACCACGTGCCACAAGGGAGGGTCCAAGCACTTTCTTTTTCATACTATTATAAATGGGATTGTTTGTAATTACTTTTTTTTTTTTTAAGATTTATTTTCATTACAAAGTCAGATATACAGAGAGGAGGAGAGGCAGAGAGGAAGATCTTCCATCCCATGATTCACTCCCCAAGTGAGTACAAAGGCCAGTACTGTGCCGATCCGAAGCCCATCTGAAGCCAGGACCTTCCTCCAAGTCTCCCACAGGGGTGCAGGGTCCCAAGGCTTTGGGCTGTCCTTGACTGCTTTCCAGGCCATAAGCAGGATGGGAAGAGGAGCTGCCAGGATTAGAACCGGCGGCCATATGGGATCCCGGGGCGTTCAAGGCGAGGACTTTAGCTGCTAGGCCACCAAGCCGAGCCCTGTAATTACTTCCATATTATTTACTTGTAGCACAGAGACAAATAATAGACCTGCGGTAAACTGATCCATTATCTCCTAACAACTTTGCTAAGTTAAAGGTGTCTGTACGGATTTGCTAGTGTTTCTATAAATGGATCAGGCCATCCTCTACAAAAAACATAGTTTCTTTTCTTCTTTGCCAATATAAAAACACTGTTTCTTTTTTAGCTGATCTGGCTAGAATCTACAAATACAAGTAGCAACAGTACGCCCTCATCAGGGATATGAGAGGAAAGGTTTTGGGGCCTCACCATTGAGTACACCTGCGCAGGCCCAGCTCCTGCAGCTGCCTGCGTCTGCTTGCCCGTGACAGGGCACTGGGCAGCACTGGAGGCGCTGTCTCCGTCTGTGCAGCCACCACACTACGCCAGCCCTCCCCTCACGGATTCAGGCCATCCCACGCGGACTTCCTCATGTTCAGCACTGCATTCCTGGGACTGCCCACGCAGCTGGGACCCACAGAATCCCTTCACAATGCTGCACCCCTGCCCTGTGCCGGAGGGTTTCTGCACCTGCACTCGCAGGCGCCGTCAGCCTGTCCCGGTTGTCTGGCTTCGGTGCGTAAGGGCAGCACCAGCTCATAAAGCTAGCGAGGGGTCTGGAGGACCGCTGTGACTTGTTTCAGGACTTGCTGGGACTCACCTGGGAAGCCTGCTACTGGGCGTTTCCACTATCAGGAAGTACTTGATGACTAACTCAGAATCTCAGCTTGTTGTATACATCTGCTCACTTTTTTCCTAGAGTCAATTTCAGTAACCTATATGTTTGTTTCTAGGTTAAAAAACAGCTAAATTGGGCCAGGCACAGTGGCCTAGTGGCTAAAGTCCTTGCCTTGCATGCACCGGATCCCATATGGACCCAAGTTCGTATCCTGGCCTCCCCACTTCCCATCCAGCTCCCTGCTTGTCCTGGGAAAGCAGTTGAGGACGGCCCAGAGCCTTGGGACCCTGTACCCGTGCAGGACACCTGGAAGAGGCTCCAGGCTTCAGATCAGATCGGCTCCAGCTGTTGCAGCCACTTGGGGAGTGAACCAAAGGACAGAAGAGCTCTCTCTCTGTCCTTTTCTCTGTATATCTGCCTTTCCAATAAAAAAAAAATTTAAAGAAACAGCTGAATTAAAATATTTCTAATATTTAACCTCTATCGTTGGCATAAGGGGGCCAAAAATAATGTTCAGGCCGCTGCCAGCACCCCCTTTAGAGACTGCTTCAAGTGCCGGCTGCTCCACTTCAGATCCCGTTTCCTGCTGGCGCACCTGAGAAAGCAGTGGAGGCTAGCCCCAGAGCGCGGGCCCTGCACCCAACACGGCAGACTCAGATGGAGTTGCCCTTCTGGCCTGGATCACTCTTAGATGTTGAGGTCATTTGGTGAGAGAGCTGGTACATGGAAGATCTCAGTGTTTCTCCCTTTCTGTCACGCTGCCTTTCAAAAACACAAATAATCCAAAAATAGATAAATAAAATCTTCACACTATAAATAAAGGCAATAAAAGGGTTACCTAATGTATTCAGAGTAAACCATGACTGCGCTGGCTTTCCAGGCACCACTATCAGGTGAACATACCATAGCACTTGACATCCCAACCACCAGGAGGCTGGAGGGGCACCCAGCATCACACGTTCATTACGGTCAGTGCCCAATCCCCTCGTGCCACGTGTCCCACTCAGGAATCCTTTCCTTCCTGCCTTTTAAGCAACAGTCCCACAGTATTTGGAAGGACAGCTCACCCTTTTCTATCAAACTCTCGGTCCAGATCCTTCTGTATCATCGTCTTCTGAGCCTTGTAGTGGGTTATGATGCCGATGTTCCGAAAAGTAACATCCTTTCTTTTGTCTTTAATAAGCTTAATTATCTCCATCACCAACTTTATTTCTTGAATGTTCACATATGAGCTAAATAAGATGAAAAAGAAAACATCAAAATTGACAGGAGTCCAACTGCTAACTAGGTCCCACGTAGTCTGTCCCCTGACAGCAGGAGGGAAGGCTGACTCAAGTGGATATGCGCATCATAGCACGTCTAAACAACAAACAACGCACAAACACAAACGTGTTTGAGCCCAGAGCTTGGAGTCAACAGAACACTACACATCAACTGCCTCTGTTAAAGCAGACAGCGATGATCAGAATGCTGCTTCTAACAGTGCAGACATGGACAGCAAATACCTCACAGGAACTAAAGACTTGCTACTTTCCAAACACTGGAGGACTTCACATGTATTCCTTCTAGAAGAGCCTGCTCATGGCCACACCCCATGCCACCAAGAGCTGTCTTCTATTGGCTAAGCGGGAGTGACGCTACCAGAGCTCAATACCGGGGTGTGGCAGGCCCATGTCCTCATCGTCACCCACGCTGGCCTCAGATTCCCAATTGCACTTCTGCTCACTGCTATTCCCGACCAACAGGACAGGCGCACCCTGCTGCTGTAACACCCACTCTCCCACCTGGGGCTGGGCAGACAGAGACAACCCAGACAGCCATCTCTGCTACCCCCCAAACCCTTTTCTTAAGTCATATTCCTGGTTAGGCCTCTCTGCTCAAGAGGCAGAGGTATGCATAGTGTTTTTACTGTCCATCTGAACAGAAATCTCGCATGCATCTGGGGACCATCGCTGGGAAGTGCAGGAAGAACGCACTCATTGTCCCGTCTCTCGGAACCATCTCCAACATCAAACACGAGGTAAGGCTGGAACGGCCAGTCTGATGAACATCGGCTGCTCTCAGTCAGTCTGTAAAACATCAGCCACCATTCAAAATGTGAGTTATGAAGGAATATTTCATCGTTACTTCTACTTGTCTCCTACTTGGGGAGAGGGAGCTGGGAAGAGCAAGGGAGACGTTCCTTTACCGAAGTGACTCTGCCAATGGCAGATCCAAACAGTTTTTCTACTCCAATGCTAGGGAGAATTATCTATGTAATTAAAGCATGAAACCTATAAATGGAAAATTACTTATAGCTTTAAAAAAAAAAAAAAAAGCAAAGCATGTCCCGCAACCCCAGCCAGCGCCCAGTGACCCGGCTCGGAAGGGCTGGCAGCACAGCCAGTGACCTACAACACGGCCACCGCCCATTTCCACCTCACAGCAGCATGCGTGATCTTTGTTTCCCTTTTTTTAAAACTGTATTTGCAGCAACCAATATGGTTTCTATAATTAGAGAAAATTACTAAACCTCTGTGACTTAGGCTCATACGAGACTCGAGAACACAGTAAAACACATCTTTCTACTAAGCAGCTATACTTACAAAAAGTCAGCTTGCAAGCAGCAAACAAACCCACCTGCTGGTCTTCAAGTTCCTGTTGTAAATGTAATTAGAAGGGAAGAGGCAAATGTCCGGGTGCATTCGGTACTGGACAGTCAGCTGTAAAATGGGCAGTCTGCTAATCACGTTTTGCTCCACGCATTCTTCCAGCAGTTTATAAAAGCGAGCCATCATCGACTGGTCATAGCCATACTCCTGTGCTTTCTGAGACACAGAAAATAAAGTCACAATTCTCAAGAGTTTAGCTCTACTTTCCCTACAGGTGTAACAGTAAGGGTCAGGTGATGCAAGATCACCAAAACCACAGACTCAGAGATGTTTCCAACAGGAAACTGTCAGAGTCACAGTTTTCGCTACAAGTTTGGGTATCGCCCATCCTTCTTTTTTTTGTTTATTTATTTTTTTCATTACAAAGTCAGATATACAGAGAGTAGGAGAGACAGAGGAAGATCTTCCGTCCGATGATTCTCTCCCCAAGTGAGCGCAATGGCCAGTGCTGCGCCGATCCAAAGCCAGGAGCCAGAAACTTCTTCTGGGTCTCCCACATGGGTGCAGGGTCCCAAGGCTTTGGGCCGTCCTCGACTGCTTTCTCAGGCCACAAGCAGGGAGCTGGATGGGAAGTGGAGCTGCCAGGATTAGAACTTGTGCCCATACAGGATCCGGGCGTATTCAAGGAAAGGACTTTAGCCACTAGGCCACAGCACTGGGCCCAGGGTATCTCCTATTCTAAACAAACCACTCACACACCACTTACGAAATGATGGGATTCTTGCAAAAGCTGTTTTCATGCAAACAGAAAGAAATCTGAAAAAAATTAGTAATAAAGCAAAGGAATAAACACAGATTTGAACAAATTATTACTGGCTATATTCTCACAAATAAAAATGTTGAGTGGGCCCGGCACGGTGGCACAGTGGTTAAGGTCCTCGCCTTGCATGCCCGGGATCCCATATGGGTGCCGGTTCTAATCCCAGCAGCCCCGCTTCCCATCCAGCTCCCTGCCTGTGGCCTGAGAAAGCAGTCGAGGACGGCCCAAAGCTTTGGGACCCTGCACCCGTGTGGGAGACCCGGAAGAAGTTTCTGGCTCCTGTCTTTGGATCGGCACAGCACTGGCCGTTCTATAGCACTTGGGTTCTATTCCCAGCAGCCCTGCTTCCCATCCAGCTCCCTTCTTATGGCCTGGGAAAGTAGTCAAGGATGGGCCTGGCGCGATAGCGCAATGGTTAAGGTCCTCGCCTTGCACATGCTGGGATCCCATATGGGCGCCGGTTCTAATCCCGGCAGCCCCGCTTCCCTTCCAGCTCCCTGCCTGTGGCCTGGGAAAGCAGTCGAAGACGGCCCAAGGCCTTGGGACCCTACACCAGCGTGGGAGACCCAGAAGAGCTCCTGGCTCCTTAACATCGGCTGTTGCGCTCACTTTGGGAGTGAATCATTGAATGGAAGATCTTCCTCTCAGTCTCTCCTCACTGTGTATACGCCTTTCCAATAAAAATAAAAAAATATTTATTTAAAAGACGTAATAAAAGAAAGAAAACAACAGAAAGATCTTCCCACTTGCTTGTTCACTCACTAAACTACAACATCTGAGGCTGGGCCCGGCTGATGCCAAGAACCAAGAACTCTACCCACTTGGGTGCCAGGGACTCAAGCACATCGGCCACCTGCTGCCTTGCAGGCACACTGGCAGGGCACCGGATTGGAAGCAAAGCAGCCCAGACTCAAGCCAGTTCTCTGATATGGCATACAGGTGCTGCAAGTAATGGCTTAACTCCGCATGTCACAATACAGGCCCAGAGTCTGTCATTTTTTACAACAATTTTTTCTCTTTATAATGCCCCCTAATTTGCATGCACATAAATCTGTCAGGAAGTTGGAATTCTCTGCATTGCTTTTTTTTTTTTTTTAAGATTTATTTTTATTATTTTTTATTGGAAAGGCGGATATACAGAGAGGAGAGACAGAGAGGAAGATCTTCCATCCCATGATTCACTCCCAAAGTGAGCGCAACGGGTCGATACTACCCCGATCTGAAGCCAGGAGCCTCTTCCGGGTCTCCCACGCGGGCGCAGGTTCCCAAAGCTTTGGGCCGTCCTCGACTGCTTTCCCAGGCCCCAAGCAGGGAGCTGGAAGGGAAGCAGGGCTGCCGGGATTAGAACCGGCGCCCATATGGGATCCCGGGCGTGCAAGGCGAGGACCTTTAACCACTTGCGCCACCGCGCCGGGCCCTGCATTGCTTTTAAAGTGCTGTTACATTCTGCTGTGTTCCTGCGCCTGCCCCGGCCTTCAGCAGGGGATCTGTCTCTGAGCCTCAGGCTCATCGGGCCACGCACACAGAACCACAGCCAGCAGCACAGCCAGCAGCCAGCAGCACAGCCAGCAGCCAGCAGCCAGCAGCACAGCCAGCACAGCCAGCAGCCAGCAGCACAGCCAGCAGCCAGCAGCACAGCCAGCAGCCAGCAGCACAGCCAGCAGCGTGGGCAGGGATTTGCACTAAGACCCAAACAGCGCTTCTCTTTCCTTGTTTACTGTTTACCTTTCCCTGTGAGAGACAACCCAAGAAACACACCACCCTTCCAAGACACTAAAGAAAACAAAGCCCTTTCCACTGACCAGCAACCCAAACCAAGGGCTCACCATGGAAATGACGGTGGGAGGAAGCTGCTTCGGGTCCCCGACAAGGATCAGCTTATTGCAGCGATGGATCAGTGGGGTAAGCGTCTCCACCTCACAAGACTGTCCGGCCTTGGTAAATTCAGAAGGGCAACAAAGTTTTCATTATTTTTCCTATTAATTTATACACATTAGATTTATTCAATTCATTCTCAATATTCTGAACACTGCCCTGTACTATCACTGAAAGTTCCTTTTTTTATTAGAAAATAAAGCAGAACAAAGAACAACAAAACCAATTTCCTGTGGGGGCTCACATGTGCGCACACGCGCGCATACACACACATCAAGCAGGTATTTTGCAGCAGCCAGCAGGAGTGTTCCATTCCTGGGGAAGCACCCCAAGCCAGAAGGCCCCTCCTGTGTGCAGTTTGTGGTCTCACCCTGCTGGACACCCCGGGACACTGCATTCTCCTGGGCTCTGTGGTTGCGGCATCAGGTGAGGCCTGAACCGTGTCGCCCATCTTCGCTGTGTCTCAACAGACACAAGCTGGCTTGAATATTTTGGTTTTTTTTTTTTTAAAGATTTATTTATTTATTGGAAAGGCAGATATACAGAGAGGAGGAGAGACAGAGGAAGGTCTTCCGTCCAATGGTTCACTCCCCAAGTGACCACAACGGGCAGAGCTGAACTGATCGGAAGCTAGGAGCCAGGAGCTTCCTCCAGGTCTCCCATGCAAGTACAGGGTCCCAAGGCTCTGGGCCGTCCTCGACTGCTTTCCCAGGCCACAAGCAGGGAGCTGGATGGGAAGTGGAGCTGCCGGGATTAGAACCGGCGCCCATATGGGATCCCGGAACCTTCAATGCGAGGACTTTAGCCACTAGGTCACGCCACCGGGCCCGAACATTTTGTTTCTTCCACTATTTCATCATTTCCATTTCTGTTCTTTCACTCTTTTTTCAGTTTTTTTAATTAATACATATTAAGAGGATGCAAATATGCAACCTTGGATCTCCTGGATCAATCACTTGCATCTCATGCTCCATTTCAGTCTTCTGACAAAGAGTAAGCACCAAACACACGCTTACTCAGTGAGTGAACTAGAGGAGTAAAAGCTGTCACCTGGAGTCTGCAGCTGCCAGCTGCCTAAGGGAGCATGAAGACTACTTCGAGGCTGGGCACTTGGCAGGCAGCCAGATGGCAAGGAAGCCACTCAGGGTGCTCACATCCTGTACCCACAGTGCATGGCTTCCTGTCTGGCCTCTCCTTCCTGCTGATGGGCCCACAGGAGACAGGTGACAGGTGCCCGTGCTTGGGGCCCCGCTCTTTAATGGGAGACTGGACCGAGATCCCGGCCTCCTGCTCTGGGCTGGCCCAGGTCACACTGTGGCAAGCGTCCGAGGGAGAGACCAGTGGTTCCATTGCATCCTTCCCTTTCTTTTCCTCCTCCTCTCTTAAACTGATCAATTTAAAAACTGCTTCAACTGGAAAAATAGGTCATTAGAAACATTTCAACATGAGAATACACACATCAAGCTATGTAGAGACCAGGTGTAACAGAGCTGTTCTTGCAAACACCTCAGTAGCCACAATCCTTCAAAATCCTTCAAGACCCATTCCTCACAGTGCCAGGCGCGGTTTTCTGGCCGAGCACTCACTGACCTCATCAACAACGACACAGCTGAAGGGGACGCCCCCTTGTCCGCGGAAGGCCGACTCGAGCAGCAGCCCACCGCTGGTGCTCAGCGTGCAGCAGATGATGTGCGACTCCAGGATGATGATGTTCTGTGTCTTCTGGGGCCGTCCTTGGACCTGACAAAATAATGCTCATCTGTACGTGAACTCCTGACTGTAACAGGCCTAAATCCACAATTTGTTATGTGATGAATAAATTTTTAGTAAAAGAAATCTCAAATCTAGAAACTTTCCTGATAATCAGAAACCACTAAAGAATACTGTCTAATTTGCATTCTAATCTTAGAACATGACTTAAATACAATAAAACAATTATGCAGGTTTTAATTTTCTCAGTGTAGATTGAAACAATTCTTTTTGTAGTCATATTTATGTAGCTAGGTGTCTGAATAGAAATTAAATAATTCTCAGTTGTGAAGCAATTATCTGAATAAAAACAGGATTTGAATTAATTTGAATGCACATTTTTCTGATATTTTAAGTACAGCCTGTAATACTCTTACTTTTGTAACAGTACCAACAAAAATGTCTGTGAGTCTCATGAACTCCTCATTCCCAGCGTTCTGGTCTGACCAGGGCCTGGTTCCCCGCAGTCCACGCAGCTATGACGGTGAGCCCATGGCCACCTCCGCAAGCTGGCCTCGCGGGAGCTCCCTCACAGGCTTCACTAAGACGCAGAGCCACAGGTAACAGTGCAGGCTTCCTTCCTCTCCACACCCAAAGGCCCACGAAGGCCCGGCAGGCGCTCAGCCACAGCCAGGAACAAGCCTGGGTCCCCACAGAGGAGGAGGCATTCAGCCACTTGAGCCATCACTGTTGCCTTCTAGGGTCTGTGTTAGCAGGAAAGTAGAGTCCAGAACAGAAGTGGGTATACAAGCCAGGCTCTCTGACACAGGAGCAGGTGTCTTTCCCAGTGGTCTTTGGGTCACTCGGTACATTTTGGGTCATGGTTCTTCTACAGGACTTGGGGCTACAAGCCCCAGCTGGGCACAGCTACTCTTTTTTGCTTCCTGACTCACAAGTCATTACCCCTTTGCCATCCTCTGGCCTCACCAGATTCCTGACCAAGGGGCCACCTGACTTTGGACTTAGGAACCTCCAAAAATATAAGCTGAATAAACTCTGAGCAGCTCCCCTCAGGTATTGAAAAGCTGAAAAAACAGTAAGAAAAACAAACTTCTATAATGCAACACAGCACGGTGCAAGCACACCGAGCGACCTGCACACTATCGCAGTGCTCAGATTACACTGAAGTGCCATCTGCCAGAGGCTCAGTTCGCCCATTTCTGCTGCAAGGCACTACTGAGTCACCTCTGCACATGAGGCACTCCATCAGGCCTCGATGTGCACGTCTGAGATCTGGGAGGAGGCGGCGACCGGGAGCCTCTCCACTCACACGGCACGGCACCTTTGTCAGCTGTTCTGCTCCCAGTGAGGCAGCAGCATCGCCACACACGAGGCACTCAGTGGCCCTCAGTAGCAAAAAAAGGACAACACCTGTGATCTGGGACTTCTTCAAACTTGGGAGGATTAACTTTGAGCTCAAGTTAGAATTTTAACAAATAGCTTTCACATCATTTTCATGAAAACAGACAGCTATGAAGTTGATTTTCACTCTATTCGTGCAGCCACATTGAGCAGACCAGTAGTAAAGGAGAACTCAGCTTAGGAACACCAGGAGCTGCACCGGTCACTGTTCCGCTTCTGAACGAGGTCAGAGCTGTGTTCTAAACACCCGGACATGCACAGGGCTGTCAGGGTCAATGTAACTCTGACTGGATACTCGCACAGCCGCAGAATCCTGGGGGAAAACTATTACAGGTGCTCTTTTATCAGTTTCTGCATCCATGACCTACACACTGAAGATGAGGGGTCTGTCATCAGTGACAGCCACACACAGACTTCCTCTCGGCATTACTCACCCTCTCCTTGCATTTTCTCCCTCTGTCACTCTGCCTTTCAAATAAATACATCTTAGAAATAAAAAAAGTTCATGGAAAAACAAAATGAAAATGCTTATTTTTAAAAAGGAGTTAATGGAGGACATGTGCCAGTTCTAGGCAAATGTCATGCCATGTTCTATAGGGACCTAAGCGTCCTCAGATTCCGATGACAGACATGACTACACGGTCCATCATCTTTCACAGAATCCACGCTCTAGGAGCTGCAGCCCAGTGCTTCCTTCCTTATATCTGCCCAGCCACCGTCACCCCGCTGGCAAAGACTGGGACACCACAAGGCTCCCCACCACGAGCCACTTTCTAAGACTCACACAACCCACGGACCCATCTTCACGACCCATTCATCCACAGCACACAACTACTGTTTCTACGGGGTGAGACGAGGAAGCCAGTACTTGGTTAGATTTTTTTCATATTTACCCAGACCTAAGATAGGAAAAAGATCATTTAAAATCATTTCTTTCTTACATATCTCAGACTGTAACAGAACTCACCCTCAGATTAAATGAAAAAATAAAATAAATGTAATTCTACCATTTTCTCCACTTGCATAGATGTATCTAATTTTTCACAATAAACACGAAAAGAAACATCAACAGGTTGTTTGAATTGTTTCACAATTAAATTTTTACAAGTAAAACTTAACCCAAGGCTTACGGGGACCTGACAGGTGGCTGGACCGCCCCGCAGCAGAACCAGAGGAGCGAGTGCCTGCTAACCCTGCTCACCCTGCTCACCCTGCTCACCCTGCCAACCCTGCCAACCCTCACGTGCTCACTCCTGGCTCCCGACACTTCCCTGTTGCGGGAGGGACTTTTGCACTTGAACTATTCTTTCCAGAATAGTACCCCGTGGCAGCCCTGGAAGTGCACTTCGGGACCAACATCCATCCTCCTAAGCAGGGCAAGGTAGGGCGCACTTAGATATTTTAGAAAGTAGCTGCTCCCTGGCCCACGACCACACGGGCCTGTGCTGGAGCCAGGCTTCGGCAGTGGGAGACCACCGAAGTCTAAGCCCGAAAAACAGCTTGAGCGTGGACAGGCTCTGAGCCCTGATAAATCCATCTCATCACCAACTATCAGTCACTTCTGCTTGGCTAAGACTTCTTCCTGTTGCATTCAAGGGACACAGGAACACTACAGAACAAAAAGCCCAGGTACCCTTTGTTCTTTGGTGATTAAATGCCCAACAGTAAATCCACAACTCAGGATTTCCCGTTGGAAAACACGAAGAGACTGCAAGCATCACCTGGTCCCCTTACTCCTCATGCCTGCAGTCCCAGTGTCGGAACACACAGCCGCCAGCTAAGACCTGTCCTCTGATTCACTCCCCAAGAGGCCACAATGGTTGGAGCTGAGCTGATCCGCAGCCAAGAGCCAGGAGCTTCTTCCAGGTCTCCCACGCGGGTGCAGGGTCCCAAGGCCTTAGGCCGTCCTCTACTGCTTTCCCAGGTCACAGTCAGGGAGCTGAGTTGAAAGTGGAGCAGCTAGGACATGAACTGGTCCCCATAAGAGATCCCCACACGTGCAAGGCAAGAATTTAGCCACTAGGCTACCACGCTGGGCCCTCTTTTAATTTCATGGGATCCTTTTCCTCTTTATGTGGTGATCTAGCTGCTTTTGTGGTGATCTAGCAGCACTGGTAAAGCAGCTAAGCAATTCTTCAAAATAGGCTGCATAGTCAAGTCTATTTAGATTCTGTAGATAGACAAGCTTTGCCAAAACTGGAGCATTAAAAAAAAAAAAATACAGCCCTCATTAATAACATTGTGACTTTGTTACCAAGTGCAGATTCCTCCATTCTGCCTGGCTCGTGTGGAAATTTTGAGAGATCTCATGTTTTAGAGAAATACTTCCTGGTATTCCAAAAAAATTTTCTTAAAAAACAAGAAAACACTACAGGCAAATTACTTACCTCTTTAATTTTAGAAGCAAGTTCCTGCCTTTCTTTTGAAACTCTGGCAATTTTTTCATCTAACTCTTGCCTCTAGAAAAAAAATCAAATTGCACCATTAAAAGTAAGTTGCGTATTTTAAAATGCTTTCAAGTACACCACCTTACACGGCCAGACTAAGCCTGACTTTCCACCCGTGAACATCTGACCACTCCAGCTCGTATTCACAGCACAGCCCCAGCACCTTCTTACATCTGTGTCCGGTGTGGTCATGCTTGGCATCCCACAACAAATGCTGTTTTCCTACTTAGCCTGCAAAGCCCTGGAGCATTATTCCTCCCCTGAATTCTAGGTGGTTCAAACAAGGTGGTCACTCACACCCCACACTCCTCTGGCCACTACGGTGAGTACATTAAACGGTGCATCCAATCACGACCCATTTCCTTAAAAATATGGCTTGAACCTGCCTGCCCACACGGGAAATACTCGGGATCTTTCCTTGGAACTGGGAGACCATCACTGGGGTGCCAACGTGGGCTTCTGCAGCCCCACAAAGCAAAACAAATTAAAAACTGGGTGGAAAAATGACATAAGCTGAGCCTCCGGAACCCAATCCCTGGCAAAGCTGAGCCACTTCTGGTTTGACCAGATGGGAGTTAGTAAAATCCCTTTCTGTTTAACCTAATTTGAAGTGGTTTTAACTTGTAACTGAAAGGTACCTAATAATTTCAGTGTAGCTTTAAAATATCAGCCCAATTGAAGACACCACCTGCTTTCGTAAATGAAGTTTTACTAGAACACGACCAGATTCATCTGTGACTGATGGCTGCTTTCACGCTACGACAGAGCTGAGCAGCTGTCCTGCGCTGCCTAAAACATTTCCTGCTTTGTCTTTTACAACAACAAAGAGGACACTGACCCACCTAGTAAGGCAAGTCACTTTACTATGTGCCATCCCCAGACAGCAGCAACATCCGGTGCTCCTGAAGCAGCATGTGGCATGTGCGCCTGCCCTGAGCTACCGCCTGGAACAATGCCCGGTGCCAGGGAGCTACCTGCGCCTCCCGCGCGCCTCGGCACAGAGCGCGCTTGCGGGAAAGCTCATCCAGCTGCCGGTCGAGACAATCTTTTCTCCGGTGCATCTCCTGAACATGAGAAGGCAGCTCTTTCTCTAATAAAAAGGAAAAGTCAAAAATCACATGCAAATTCCAACAAACACAGCAAAAAGCACAACTAGTTCCCAGAACTAGACGATTTCGAGGGTCTCCAAATGACCTTAAGTGCCCAGAAAGGGATGAGAGAAAACGCCCGATTACCATGGATTCAGTACTTACTCATCCTGTGGTTAACCTGGCTGTCCAAACTGAATTTTAGGACTTCATTATTAATAGATTTTTCAGGACCCAGTCGTACTAAATTTATATCTCCACAGTTTCCTGTTAGAAAAAAAAAATCATACTTAAAGATCAGTACAGGTACTGCCAACAAAGCCCGTCTCTGTGTAATACCTATTCTTAAACAGACACATTAACAATCAGAGAAAGGGGCTCACATACACCAACCACCTGCAACCAGAACAGGGATTTCTGATACATGATTTCAGAGAATCTTCTAGCAATCCTCCTACAAAGCCAGTACCCACAGTCAAAGCTGTCAAGGTCACATAAATACTACAGAGCACAACTGGAATTCTATTTTTTTTTTAAGATTTATTTATTTTAGGGCCCGGCACGGTGGCACAGTGGTTAAGGTCCTCGCCTTGCACGCCACAGGATCCCATATGGGCGCCGGTTCTATCCCGGCAGCCCCGCTTCCCTTCCAGCTCCCTGCTTGTGGCCTGGGAAGGCAGTCGAGGACGGCCCAAAGCTTTGGGACCCTGCGCCCGCGTGGGAGACCCGCAAGAGGCTCCTGGCTTCGGATCGGCATAGTATCGGCCCGTTGCGCTCACTTTGGGAGTGAATCATGGGACGGAAGATCTTCCTCTCTGTCTCTCCTCTCTGTATATCCGCCTTTCCAATAAAAAAAAATAATAAAAATAAATCTTAAAAAAAAAAAAGATTTATTTATTTTATTTTTTTTTTTTAAAGATTTATTTTTATTATTTTTTCATTGGAAAGGCGGATATACAGAGAGGAGAGACAGAGAGGAAGATCTTCCGTCCCATGATTCACTCCCCAAGTGAGCACAACGGGCCGATACTATGCCGATCCGAAGCCAGGAGCCTCTTGCGGGTCTCCCACGCGGGCGCAGGGTCCCAAAGCTTTGGGCCGTCCTCGACTGCCTTCCCAGGCCACAAGCAGGGAGCTGGAAGGGAAGCGGGGCTGCCGGGATTAGAACCGGCGCCCATATGGGATCCCGGGCGTGCAAGGCGAGGACATTTAACCACTTGCGCCACCGCGCCGGGCCCAAAAAGATTTATTTTATAGGGCCCGGTGCAATAATGTAGTGGTAATAGTTCTCGCCTTGCACACGCCGGGATGCCATATGGGCGCCAGCTCTAATCTCGGCAGCTCCACTTCCCATCCAGCTCCCTGCTTGTGGCCTGGGAAAGCTGTTGAGGTTGGCCCAAGGCCTTAGGACTCTGCACCCGCATGGGAGACACAGAAGAGCTCCTGGCTCCTGGCTTTGGATTGGCGCAGCTCCAGCCGTTGCAGTCACTTGGGGAGTGAACCATCAGATGGAAGATCTTCCTCTCTGTCTCTCCTCCTCTGTATATCTGCCTTCCCAAATTAAAAAAAAAAAAAAAAGATTTATTTATTTTATTGGAAAGTCAGATTTACAGAGAGGAGTGACAGAAAGATCTTCCATGTGCTGATTCACTCCCCAAGTGGCCACAACGCCCAGAGCTGAGGCGATCTGAAGCTAGGAGCCAGGAGCTTCTTTCAGGTTTCCCATGTGGGTGCAGGGTCCCAAGGCTTTGGGCCGTCCTTCGCTGCTTTCCCAGGCCACAAGCAGGGAGCTGGATGGGAAGTAGCATAGCTGGGACATAAACTGGTGCCCGTGTGGGATCCCAGGGTGTGCAAGGGGAGTAGAATTTAGCCATTGAGCCATTATATCGGGCCCTACTGTATTTTTTTTAAAAGGATTTGTTTGAAAGAGTGATAAAGAGGGGAAGATAGAGATCTTCCATCCACTGGTTCACTCCCTAGATGCTTATAGCAGTTACAGTTGGGCCAAGCTAGAGCCAGGAGCCAGGAACTTCGTCTGAGTTTCCTTCATGGATGGCAGGGTCCCAGTACTTGGGCCACCCTTTGCAGCCTCTCACACACAGGCAGGAGATGGAGTGCAAGAGCCAGGACGGGAACCATCACACTCAGAGAACTTTGGTGTCCTAAGTGGCTGCATAAAAATCTGCTGCAACACCCACCCCAGAGCTTCCTTAATTTCCCATTTCCCCAGGCTATTGTGCCAAGGCATGTTCTGTACAACACAGCTTGGCGACGTCAGCACACTGCGGCAGGTGCTGTGGTACAGCTCAGGAGGCTGCCAGCTGACATGCCCTCCCACAGTCATGGTGTCCCAGCACCTCCACTTCCCATCCAGTTTCGCTCCATGTTCCTAGTCAGGCACACAGTATGCCATGACAGAAGTGTCTGCCACACAGGAGATGCACAAGGATGCCTGGCTCCTGGCTGCAGCCTGGCCTCAGCGGCTCCTGCAGGCATTGGGGGAGATAAGAGGAATGAAGTGCTCTTTCAAATAAAATAAAAACTGAACTAAAAAAAGCACCACTTTTTAACAATGGACTATTCAAGGACAGGTACGTATTAATACATATTTGGATTTCCAAAACAAGATCTTATTTGCCCATTCAGTCCCTGTCAAAGTACTCAGCACAAGAGTTTCAAACTATGTTCCATACTGTCCTGCTGCTACTGCCCAATCTCGGTAATGGACATTCTGCACATAACAACTGTTACCATTATAAACAATAGTTAGCCTGTCCATTATACCATGTTCATTCAGGTTACCACATCTTAGTATTGAAAAATCTTCCATTGCACCATTAGGCTAAATTATGGCCATTGTGACGTTGTAGCAGCATTTACCCCTACCTGACACATCATATAGGTCTGTCTCTCCCTTTCCACTGAAAGCTAAGTCCCTTAAGAACAAGGTTCTGTTTTTGCTCACTGCCTGTAACAGTGAGTGGCTCACACACAGCAAGTGCCATGAGCACAGACCATGCCCAGGGTGAACAGCTAATCCTCACAGAACCTGAGGCTCAGTTTTGATCCAAGCTTGGCCCATTCTTCCAGATTTGAGGTCATCTCTGATCAACATTTACTTGAAGGCCTCAAAACTGTGTAACCCCCTTTTGTTGCCATCAGAAAAGCAGATGGTGACCTGGAACTCACCCACAATGAACAGAGCAGGGCGCGCCACCCTTCACGCCGCAGGGAGAGCTCACAGGGGCACAGAGTAACTTCCAGGGACCAAGACACAGCGAGCTGGGAGTCAGGCCTCCTAGCAAGGGCTTCCCGGACAGGTGCAGTGCCGCCCAGGGGGGGTGGTGACTGGTGTCTAGGCACTTGAGGGTCTTGCTCTCTTTAAATCAGCACTGATGTATAATTTACATTGAGTAAAATGCAGAGATATAAAAAAATCTTTAATTTGGGGCCAGTGTTATGGCAGTGCAGGTTAAGCTGCCACTTGTGAAGCTGGCATCCCAAATAGGTGCCAGTTAGAGCTCCACTTCCAATCTAGCTCCCAGTTAATGGTCTGAGACAAAAATCAGAGGATGACCCCGAGCTTGAGTCCTTGCCACACACGTGGGAAGTCTCCTGCATGAACCTCCTGGTTTTGGTCTGGCGCATCAGGGAAGTGAACTAACAGAAAGAAGATCTCTCTTTGTAACTCTTAAAAATAAATCTTAAATTGAAACATTAAAAACCTTGATGAGCTTAACATATGTCTGTTAGGCAAACTATAATTTCAATAAAATACTCCATTTTAATCTGTGCTAGAAAGCAAGTGGTCCTAGCAGAGCTGGCAGTGCGCTACTGACCTGGACCAGGACTCGCAGCCACAGCACTGTGCTGTCTGCAGACTCAGGATGAACACGCAAACAGGGATTGACAAGAGGATCGTACCACAAACACACAGCTTGAGCTTTCTGAAGTGAGACTACAATGAAGAACTGAATTTCTTACATTAGCTACACCTTAAATGGGGCTTCTGGTTTCACCTCATCTTACACGTTACTTCCTCCAAAAGCGCCCCTGACTTCACACAGCTGAGTCTCGGAGCCTTGAGGTGGCCGCAAGCAGACCACGGGTTAGGGGACACTAACCGCTCTGTGACCGTCCACTGGGGCATCCAGGTTTTGCCGTGGAAACCTGGCACAGCACAATTGCTCAACAAATGAACTGAGAGGTGAAGTGAACTGACAACTATCCACGGGCCACAGCTCCAAGGAGAAGCTATTACCAGCTTATGCCTGCTCTGTCATTCGAAACTGCCCACACAAAACACCAAAAACCAAGCAACAATTAAAAACTCATGTAAATCATACCCAAAGGATTCTTCTTGTCTTTACATTTTTCCTTGAATTCGAGGATAATTTTTTTCATAAGCTCATCAACAGCTGCATTAGAAGGCGCACACACAAGGACGCGGTTCTGTTTGATCTTGGCGTTGAAGTTTTCATCGGGGTGTCCTTTCCTCTGGTTCTACAATTTACCACACACACACACAAATGCCAATGAATTCTATTTCATAATTTGAAAGTTTTTCTCTATTTCCATGTATTTTCAAAACTTCCCATAAAGATATCAAAATTAATAAAAGCATCTCTATCTTACATTGATACAATAAAGTTAATATGACACAAGATTTGTGACTGAGTTTATCAAAAACCTGCTTAATCAATATTCATCAATAAAACTGCACATGTGGGATGGTTTCCTGGCAGCGGTGCAAGCCACTATGAATCTTGGGGACAGCCATTTCAGTGTGTAGGACTTGTCTCACCCAAGAAGGGTTTTCTGATGGTTTACATTTATATAACTTTCCCTTCCCCTGCCATCGCTTTCTCTGATTGCAGTTAGACATAATATCCAAAATACACACAAATGCAAAAGGGACAGGCACTTTAATATTTACATGTCATTAATTCAAGCGAAGTTAGACGACACAGCAGTTCACAACACCCAGCTCCTCGCCACACCCACCTCTGTCAGTAAGCAATAGAGAAGGCCGACAATCGTTTTTGACTTTCCTGTTCCAGGTGGTCCATGAATCAAACAGATTTTGGCAACTGATGGCAAGTGTTTGACCATGGCGTACGCAGTCTCTATTGCCTTCTTTTGATCTTCATTGAAATCCCGTAAGTAAGCAATCTATATAAAAACCACATTTGTGACAATGAGCTTTTTCTACAGTGACACAAACAAAAGGTTTATTTACCATGACTGGGCAACACCATAAAAATACCTTTAGGAACAACTTTCACTACTGAAACGGTAATAATTACTACATAGGGTCTGTCAGCTTCAGTGTATCTACAAATACTCATGTTGTTTTGAGATTCTTATAATTAATTACATTAATCTATACTTTATTTTTTCCGTTTTAGTCAATCTTCTCCATAGACAGTAAAAGCATCCCAAGATGCTTTCTTTGCCACAATGTAGTATGATGGGAAAGGCATCGTTTTCACAGTGAGGTTTAAGGATAAATTGCAGCTTCCCTTGCAAGCTAGGTCCCTACGCTCCTAACCTCACTGTTTCGTTCACTGTGAGATTCCTGAACATTTGGGAATTACTGAAAGAATGCACACCAAAGTCCTTGCACAGAACAGAGAGAAGAGTTCCTTCTGCAGTTCCCTGCACTCATTCCCTAGAATGCACACACTTCTTACATTGCAAACTATGCTACTACACGATCAGCATCCCATCTCCATGTGCAACATCAGTTGGTTCATGTCTCTTTCACTCATGAACACTGACCACCTATGGAACATTCCAACAGGATGCTGATCTAACTTTTTAAAATTGCTCTTCCCGTACAGCTTCAAGTATTTACTGTCAATCTAATTGCACACTTCACAAAAACTAACACGAAATGCCATTGTGCTTCTGCATGAACATGCTGAGACATACAGCAACTAAAAATGACACTTCAACATCCCAACATAAACTTTTCTTTCACTGGCTATCATATGCTAATGACTCACAATTCTCTCCGATGGCATACTTGGTAACTCCTGTGTACAGAAGTCCGTGGAGCATGGGCGCAGGATGGCTCTGGCCAGTTGGTTCCGACCACTCAGCAGAGACATAGCCTTCAACTTCCTCTGTGTAGTCACCAGAGAACTGATTACAACACATTTAAATTTCACAATTTCATTTGATTTGCCTGGCAGATCGTCTTGAGTCTGGACGGAGAGGGAGCACTCAGACTTCCCATTACGCACTGTTATGGAGAAGGAGAAAAAGCAATTTCAGTTACTAATGAACAATGTCAGCTACATAATCTTCCAATTTGCCTTCTGTTCGATACATGATTTACATAATTGGCTTAAGAACTAGTTACAGGTTACAGAACGGTTCCTGACAATCAGGTGTTTGTCTACCACAGACAGACAAACATGATGTAAGCAGAGGACCACATATACCAGATGGTGGCGCATGCTGGAAAGAAAACAGGGAGACAGAGCGGGTTGATGACGTTAGGGGAGAAGCATGTAGAGGCTGCTCAGGAAAGGCCTTCCTAATGAAATAACCTTTGAGCAGAGACCTGAAGGAAGTGGAAGAAGCTGTGCCTCTGTCAGGAGCAAGGAACAGGCGGAGGATCAGCAACCATCAAGACCACATCAGAGACATGTGTCAAAAGCATTTCAGAAACAAGCATGTGGCAATATGGCTTGAAGGAAAAGCAAGGAGAGCGGGATGAGAAAGTAAAAGCTACTTGTAGGCTCTGGCCGGATGCTGCTGAATGCCACACAGCACCAGGCGGGAAGCCCCTGACTGCTCTGGCAGAGGAGCCCCAGGGCCACCTGCCATGGTCAAGGCACTGCTCTTACTGCAGAACAAAGAATGCACTTCAAAGGAAAGTACAGAAGCAAAAAGAGGCTATGTAAAGGAACTGGGGTAAAAGGGAACGGTGCCTTGGACTAGAATAGAGCAGAGGAAGAAATGGATTTTACATATATTGCAAAGAAAGTCAACAGGATTTCCTAATCAGTCAGGTGTTGAATAGAGGTGGGAAATGTCCGTATACGGTGGAACTTTTGCTCTGGTCCTGCCAAAGCAATGATAGACAGGACACAAAATTTTATACATCTATAGTAGGCAACTTTTCAGGTTAATTAGTTCATATGGCCTCTGAATGATGTAAATACTCAAAAGGCCCTTGGCAGCAAAAAGTTCCCAGCCACAATCCCAGGTAGAGGAGAACGAAAGGACCATGGATGTTTCCTAGGTTTTTGGGTTGGGCAACTAAGAGTGAGGCAAAATGAAGTCAAACAGAAAGTCAGGTATACACTGTTGGCCAAGCAGGTTTCAAAAATCCAACATATCTCGAGCCCAGCACAGTAGCCTAGTGCCTAAAGTCCTTGTCTTGCATGGGTTAGCATTCCATATGGGCACCAGTTTGTATCCCGGCTGCTCCCTTTCCCTTCCAGCTCCCTGCTGGTGGCCTGGGAAAGCAGTCGAGGACGGCCCAAACCATGGGGACCCTGCACCCGCGTGGGAGACATGGAAGAGGCTCCTGGCTTTGGACTGGCTCAGCTCCAGCCACTGCGGCCGCTTGAGGAGTGAACGATCAGATGGAAGATCTTCTTCTCTGTCTCTCCTCTCTGTATACCCGCCTTTCCAATAATAAATAAATAAATCTTAAAAAACAAAAAAAAACTCTAGCAGATCTCAAATAGACAGACATACAGTGCTGATCCGCAACGAGATCTCTTAGAAACACGTATCGAAAAATGTTAATGACAACCTTCAAAAGATGACTTAAAAATCCTGGGACTAGTTTTTGAGGAGCTGGGAGTAAATCACCCTGCCCAGTATGACAGGTACTGCTGAAGTCAAGCCAACCTTGCACTAGCTTCAGCAGAGAAGTCTCCACGACACAATGGATGCAGCTTATGGAACCGTAGACGCCTCATGCTGCCTTAAAGTGTCTGGCTCTTCTTCACAGTAATTAGCCACAAAACCAAGGTCGTAAAATATATCAAGATGTAACAGAGGAGTTTGCAAATTGTTTTATGACAAACGAAGTGGTACACCAGAAGAGAACGTTATAAAACAAAGCTTTTAAAAGTAATAGAGTATCTTCCATATTGTGTTTAGGAAACAAGCACTGCATGACAAACAATCACACAGAAAATTGTCCTGGTGGTGTACGCGTCTGCAGGGCCGGGCTGGCGCATCTGCAGGGCCGAGCTGGCACAGCTGGGGGTGGGGAGTGGGGAGAGGCTGGGCTATGTCCAGCAGATCTCTCTAGTGTCTCTCATTTACTTACTGACTGAAGTGCGACGAAATTTATGAACATAACCACAATGGTACTTCTGGAAATCTTGTACACAATTTCTCTCTCCATCTTCCGTTTCTTCATTTAGTTGCTCAGGAACCAAAAACACCAAATCATTCTCCTTTGGGTGAAGCTGTTTAGCCAGTTCACATTCCTCTAGATGAACTAAAAAAACAAGCCAGCTTTTCTATAACTTTAACACAATTATTTTAAATAAGATTAATACAAAAATTAAACCACCGCATTAAATGCACAAGTACACAGCCCAGTGTATTTTATGAAAGCAATCATGTAGACGCAATCAAAAGCTTCATCTGGACATGCACTTGGAAGACACCTGTGTCCCACATCTGCTACTGCTTTGTGTTTCAGCTCTGCTAACTATCGCAGCTGCCCATGAATATACCAGCTGGTGGGGCAGCTGGGTCCCGGCACACACGTGAGAGGTCTGGTCGACTTCTTGGCCCCTTGTTCTGGCCTAACCCAGCTCAAGCTGCTATGGACACATAGGGGACAAAGCAGCAAATGAAAGCTCATTCATTTGCGGTCACCGTTGCGGTCACTTGGGGAGTGAACCAGCAGATGTGGGATCTATATTTCGCTGTCTCTATAAATCTGCCTTTCCAACAAAAACCATCGGCTCAGCTCAGGCCACGGCAGCCACTTAGGAAGTGAACCAGCACATGAAAGATCTTTCCCTGTAAAACTGCCTTCCCAATAAAGACAATCAAGACACTGAGGTATTGGTAGAAGGCAGATATACAAATAAAACATAACAAAGTGTCCAAAATTACATCTGCAATCAAGGTGCCAAAGTACTCAGCGCAGAAAGAATCATCTTTTCGTTTTCTTTAAACACTTATTTACTTTTATTGGGAAGTAAGATTTACAGAGAGAAGGAGAGACAGAGAGAAACATCTTCCATCCACTGGTTCACTCCCCAAGTAGCTGCAATGATCAAAGCTGAGCTGATCTGAAGCCAGGAGCCCAGAGCCTCTTCCGGGTCTCCCACTCGGGTGCAGAGTCCCAAGGCTTTGGGCCGTCCTCGACTGCTTTCCCAGGCCACAAGCAGGGAGCCAGAAGGGAAGTGGAACAGCCAGGATATGAACTGGCACCCATATGGGAGCCCGATACATGCAAGGCAAGGATTTTAGTCACTAGGCTTCTGTGCTGGATCCAAGAACAGTCTTCTCAAGGAGTATCAATAAAAGTAGACATATAATATCAGCAACCCATGTACTATACACAAAATCCAAACCAAAGGACAGTTATCAAAAATGAACATGAAAACTAAACCATTCAGCTTACAAAAAAGTTCCAAAAGAGTATCTGTGAGCCAGGGTTAGGCAAGCATTTCTTAGGGCACAAAAAGCTAAGCTACACAAAATGTTAATAAACTAGATGTCATCACAATTAAAATTTCTGGGGCCCGGCACGGTGGTGCAAGTGGTTAAGGTCCTCGCCTTGCACGCCCGGGATCCCATATGGGCGCCGGTTCTATCCCAGCAGCCCCGCTTCCCTTCCAGCTCCCTGCCTGTGGCCTGGGAAAGCAGTCGAGGACGGCCCAAAGCTTTGGGACCCTGCACCCGCGTGGGAGACCCGCAAGAGGCTCCTGGCTTCGGATCGGCATAGTATTGGCCCGTTGCGCTCACTTGGGGAGTGAATCATCGGACGGAAGATCTTCCTCTGTCTCTCCTCTCTGTATATCTGCCTTTCCAATGAAAAAATAATAAAAAAAAATATTAAAAAAATAAAATAGAAATAAAAAAAATTTTTGCTCTTCAGACAGGAAAATTAAAAGGCAATCCACAGACTAGGAGGAAACACTTGTTAGGTTATGAATCTGAAAAGTAACCTGCATCCAGAAATAAGGAACTCTTGTAACTCCAAAGCAAGACAAACAATGTAAGAAAGAGAAGAGCGCCTGGCACGAGAGCCTAGTGGCAAAACCCTCGCCTTGCATGTGTCAGAATCCCATATGGGCACAGGTGTGCATCTTAGTTATCCCACTCCCCATCCAGCTCCCGCCTGTGGCCTGGGAAAGCACTCGAGGACGGCCCTGGGCCATGGAACTCTGCACCCGCGTGGGAGACCCGGAAGAGGCTCTGGGCTCCTGGCTTCAGATCAGCTCAGCTTTGCTCATGGCAGCCACTTGGCGTGTGAGCCAGCGGATGAAAGAATTTTCTCTGTCTTCTTCTCTCTGAAAATCTGCCTCTCCAATAAAAAGAAATCTTTTAAGAAAAATAAAAATAAGTCTTTTTAAAAAATAAAAAGCACTCACCTACAAACTCCCTGTATTTTTTCTGTTCACCAGGAAATTTCCGCAGATGTAACTGGTAGAAGTTGTCTTTGTTTGGAGAGCTGCTCCATTCCTGGGCCACCTGTACAGAAAGAGCAAATTAATAAAGCAAGACCAAACCAGAATGTCTTCAAAGGAACAACATTTTTCAAAGTAAACAGGAGCAAGATCCAGACCACAGACTCCTAGTTGACATATGATTATTTTGTGGCACTTTCGTGAAACTATCTAGAACTATCTTGTCTACCCAGTAGCTCCATGTGGTTATTTTACTTAAGCTCATCAAAACTTTAGAAATTAAAAATCGTACTGCTCCAACTGCTGACTCCCAGTGCCCCCGATGGCCTCTGGTCGGCACACTGCACACCGAGCTCAGAACATAGCCAAGAATACACAAACACTGCCTGCTGTCACTCTACCTTGCAAGTCAGTTAAAAAAAATATCCTGTATAAACATTTTTTAACATAATCAGATGGCTGGGCTCTCAAGAAAATTATCTTAAGAAAAAAAACCCTTGATTAAACGTCAGCCGCTCCTGAGGAGACCCGCAGCCCTCGGCCACAGGACAGCCCCTGCTCACACGCGCACGTCCGGCCTTCCTCTTCAAGAGCTGAAGACAAACAGCGATCTGTGCTCTGGGTCCCTCCTCTTCATCCTTACCAATTTCTTCCTGCCCGTGGCTCCTTCCTATCAACACACTCACTGAAGATCTTGCTTCCTGAATCATCTCCTCACTCTAGCATGCAAGTTTTCACAACGTTCCTTCCAAGTGCTTCCATTCGAGCTGTAAGCCTACTCTCTCGCCCGCCCAGCATCACTGCCTCGCTGTTCCTCCTGCTCTGGATCTCAGGGAGAACAGGAGAACCTTCAGCTCATGAGCAACTCCCGACCGCCAGGCCCTTGTGACTACTTCTAAATCCCGACTCTCGAAGGATAGCTTTCGGCAGACACTCACTATACAGGGAAGTATTCCACTGTGTTTCCTGTGTGTACGTAGAGAAATAGTACTATACTACAGTGAGATTTTTTCCTCCGTATTTCTAAAGCTGCCCAGTACTGCCTGCTGCATAGTATTCCCTCACGTGCAACAGGAACTGCTTACTTATCCACTTCAATGACATGAACAGTCCCAGAAAATCCGGCAGAAACCAATGGCCTGAATGGACACAGGTACCTAATCCTCCGGGCAGCAAACCACAGAATGAAACCATGAGCCCAGGGCCTGCACTGTGGCAGAGTAAAGCTGCTGTCGATAACACCCATAACCCACACGGCTATCAGTCTGTGTCCTGGCGGTTGAACTTCTGACCCAGCGCCCTATTAATGGCCTGGAAAAAGCAGTGGAACATGGCACCACTGTTTGAGCCCCCGCACCCACAAAGGAGCCATGGGCAGAGTTTCTGGCTACTGGCCATTGTGCCTTCTAGGGAGTGAGCCAGGGCATGAAGCTCTCTCCAAGAACAAATATGAAAGACCACTTGAGAACAAACCTCTGTTCCCCACATTCCCCTTCATTTCAGTCAATGTCCACGCACATTTCTACCAGGTTTTTCCTTCTGTGAACTGGCCACCTGTTGCCCATCTTCTGAAGGCTCAGAGCAGTTCTGAACATTGATGTGGATACGAGTTTGTGTGCAGTTCCTTGGCAATAGGAAAAACCCTTTCAACGTCACTGTCAAGTTCTTCTCTATTTAGGGGAAATTTCTAATTTTCTTATTAAGTATGTCTTCTTTTTCCCCCCTGAGCTTCTTTACAAGCAGACATTGGCACTTCCTTACCACCCTATCCACTCCCAAAAACCCATTTTCTGGCTCTTGCTTAGCCAGTAGAGGCAGCCCTCCCGACGCGCCTCTTCGCTGCAGCAGCAGCAGCCCGCTCCATTTGTGTGGCCGCAGCACCATGTGAAATGCGCCCTGGAAGCAGAGGAGTCTCCCCACTAACCGTCTGGACCCGCAGCATCACAGCTGCCTCCCCCAGACAATCGCTGCTGCCGTTCCCTGCGCACCCATTCTCCACACAGAGGTCACATTTGAGGCTGACGGGCAGCGACAACAAATCTAAGTTTTAGGTTGGAGGGGAAATGCCACTCATACTGACAACAGAAGAAAGGGTGGGAGGCGCTTGCTAAAATAGTGCACATTTACCTAATTCACATTTCTGTTTTAAATGCAAGGGTTCAAAAACAAGTATTCTCTTTCCGCCATGGACGCCACCCCATATGCTACGCAGCCCCCTACCTCCTGGCCACCCTTGGGGCAATGCTTCGCCCAGCACCAAGGACATCAAGACAACCTTGGACAGCGTGGGCACTGAGGCAGATGACAACTGGCTCAACAAGCTCGTCAGCAAGCCTAGCAGCAAGAAGGCTGAGGACGCGATCATCCTGGGCCTCAGCAAAGTGGCCAGTGTGCCAGCCGGCGCCATGGCCTAACGGGCTAATCCGGACGCCAGCTCATGTCCCAGTGCTCCATTTACCATCCAGCTGCCTGCTTGTGGCCTGGGAAGGCAGCAGAGGATGGCCCAAAGCCTTGGGACCCTGTACCCACGTGGGAGATCTGGAATAAGCTGACAGCTCCAGCCACTCTAGTCAGTTGGGGAGTGAACCAGCAGATGAAAGATCTTTCTCTCCATTTCTCCTCCTCTCAATAAATTTGCCTTTACAATAAAAATAAATCATAAAAAAAAAAATCGGTATCCTTGGCATCATCCACTTTAGAGTGCAAGATCCAATGTTTCTAAGGGTTGGAGTAAGCATTGCTATACTCCACCTCAAGTAACTGGTAAATCAATTATCTGGTAAACATTTCACGTTCTAAACAGAACCAACCAAATCTGCCTGAGCCCATCCCAGCAATGCCCCTCACAAGTGGTCACAGACTCCCAGCAGAACGAGCACGGCCCCTGGACTAGAGCCAAGGTCCATGTCGAAGCCCATGGCTTGTTTTTAAGAAGACTAAAACTATCAACTAAATAACAGAACTCAAATTCACTAATTGTTGACCTGTATAACCTAAAACTACTGAAACAATGCTGTGTAAACTACATGACTGAAAAAGGTCAAATTGTCAGTAGATCAAACTCCATGAAAATATCAAAATGACTTTCCAAAACAAGATTAACTCACTAGGACAAAGAAAGCAGAGGCAACAGAGTGGAAAGCTTTTGGAATCTGACAAGTATGTGGATGAATGGGGACTCAGAGAAAGTCCCAGAAGCTGGGTAACACCTGGGAACAATCAAACAGCTAACTCCAGGAGGCTCACTGAGAAGAGACTAACCTCTAATCCCAGCAAAAAAAAAAAAAAAAATTACAGAAACGTTCAGGATTTGTTTGTATGCTTCAATGTAATTTGCCCTTTGCTACCATCTCAAGAAAAAACAGTCAAAGCCTACATGGTAATAAGTAAATAAACACATGGGAACTGCTGCCGCTCTGAGACACCTCCCCTCACCTATTTGCTGATAAGTTTCTCCCTTTGTTATTACTGAACTTTATGTACCAGCAACCCTGCAGTGAGTCTGCAAGCACAAGGCGAAGGCCAACCGGTGCAGCCCCACCATCTAGAGCAGCGTGGCTGGCACACACGTTAACAGAAAACCCCAAGCAATACTTAACCCAGAAGTTCATCGCTTCATATACTTACTGTTTCAAAAGTATTCAGTATCATCAAAGGCAAAAAGACATTGAAATACTCTTCACAGTCCTGAAATTTGACAGGCACAGGTACTGAGATGGACTGACAAAGACTTGCTGGGGGACCACACTGATCAAAGTTCAAAAACATTTCATATTTCCACTTTAAGATCTCTTTAACAAAGGTGTCGGAGATAGACTGTGACGCAAAGACAGTGTTTGCTGGAGACGAAGTGAAGAAAGACCTGCTGTCCCCAAATGGAAGTGTGTAACGTTGCCTGCTGGAACTATTCGGAATCTGAGGAAGGCCAACATTGCACCAACTCTGGATTTCAGCCATCGGCTTTGACGAGACTGCGGAACCTGCATGTGGTTCTTTTGAAACAGACTGTCGCCCACTTGGTTTAGTTTTTAGAGATGACCGAAGTGCAGAAGTGTTCTCCAGTGACTTTGAAAGATTAGCAATCCGTGAAGTGCTACTTGAGGTAAAAATCTTTCTAGTGGAAGGTCTCAAAGGCTTAGCAGCAGCAGCAGGCAAGGCAGGCTTCCGGAACACGCCGTCCTCGGCCGCCCCGGCCTCCGCGCGCCCTGCGCAGTGCTCACCAGGGCTGCTCACGGTCCCAGCACAGGCTCGGTGCTCGCTCACTGGGCCGTGCCCAGACTCCAACTGCAGCCCACTTCCAGAATCAGCGGCTCCATGAATTACTTCAATTAGTTTATCATCGAAAGTCTCCATCTGTGAACACAGATCCATATCTTCAGGATCATTTTGGGTTAAAAATAAAGTCTCGTCGTCAGCGTCACTGCCGCACTCCGGCTCTTGCTCCTTCAAACCTGCCACCTCCATCCCACGTGCTGTCAGGTCGGCTCCACCCGAAGGCTCTTCCGAGGCAGAAGCAACTACTTCGGCTGCTGAGACTCTCTCATTTGCCACTGTAGAATCACACTGGTTCCACAGAGCAGCAGCATCAGCCACCTGAGGAGCAGAATTCGCTTTTAGGGTTTCTGGTTCAGAGGGGGTGCATTTCACCACCTGCTCTCCATTATCAGACGTATCACATTCTGGCCCAGATGCTTCACCAGCCTGGGCTGTGTGTGGTTCGGCACCTGGAACGACCCCAGTGTGACCACCACAGAATCCCTGTACCTTCTGCTGGGATTTGGGCCTCGCCTGCCTACGCAAAGAGGCATCTTGACATGCCAGCAGCTTCTTATTGTTTTTCACAGACAGAGTCTGAGGAGGGATCAATTTACTCTTTTTCCGTGTTTCAACTACGCCAACAGTTTTGCCATGGTCACGTAACTGAACTAGAGAATCTAAAGATCTCTGGGATAGTTCAAAAGCCCTTCGAGGTGCCTTTTTCAGACCAAGCTTCTCAACTGTAGAAGTTGGCGCAGGACACTGGCGAAGCTTCTTGGGCGGCACTACTGCAGGCATTACTCTACAACTCAGGTAGCTGAGACTCCTGCTCTGCCCTTGCCTGGCTTCTGAAGGCATTTTCTTAGAGGTTTTAGAAAGTGGGCCTCTCCTGCAAGTACGAAGCTTGCACGGAGGTTTCCTGGGCAAAGTGCCAGTGGCTCTGTCAGCACTGGAGTCAGGAGTCACCACTCTCTCATCCACACACCCCAGGTCGTTTTCTGAGTGGTGCCTGCCTCCCTCAGCCTGCCCTTCACTCCCGGTAGAAGATGAAGGCCTCACAGGCTCTTTGGCCACAGGCTTTTCAAGTCGTTTTCTCTTAGGTTTGACGTCAACTTCACGACACTCCTCGCCAGAAACATCCCTTTTCTGCGTCTCCGTGTGCCCTCCCATGCCCTTGGCCCCCTTCCTGGTGCACACTTTAGAACCACCGTCTGCAATGTCCCAAGCTCGTGTGACACTGAACGCGCGCATCACCCTAAACGATTCATCTTCAACTGGAGTCTTTTCCGGTTTCATTTCTTGCCAAGCAGAGTATATGTCAGATTCACTTTCAAACTCAAACAACTGAGACTCACTGCCCTCGGCCTCCAAGATGGACCTCACCTTTTCCTCCTTTAGGGGCTTTTCTTCCACAGAAACTGCCGAAGCACTCTGCTCTGGACAGACTTTGACGCATTTTTTGTCCTGTTTCTTCTGTTTTTCAAAATCCAGAAGTCTTTCTTCTTCCTCATCATCAGAATCTGAAATCACAATAATCTGACCGCGGTCCCCCACATTATCCTGGCTGGCTTTAAAATGTCTTTTGTCATCTTTCACTTTCCTCTGTAGCGGGGATGAGCTTCTCTGAGTTGAATCTGATGGAAATTTAATAACACTAGCTTGAGCTATTAAGGACAATTTGTGGAGGTCTCGGTCTACCTGAGAATCTGTTAAGATGTCTGATTTAGGACTGAAGCCAGGGACCTGATCTGCCAGGTTACGCAAAAGCACATCTGCACATTTGTTCATGTCCTTGTCTCTTGATTCATGTACAATCAGACAATTTCTAAAGGGAGATGTTTTATCCATTGAGGTAGGACTCAATTCTGCACAGGAGCCCAGATTCTTATCAACAGGGCTTTCCTGATTTTTACACTTGTTTCTATGGGAAGTATAACTGTCTAGCTCTTCATTTTCCAGTTCTCTTTTTTCACGATCCAGTAAACCACTGGAGACTAAAGACAGATTTTGCCAAAAGCGGGCCCTGCTCTGACCGGCTGCGTCCTTCCCTGAATGTAAGCTCTTGGCGTCAGACGCAGCCACCTTCTCGACGCTGTCGGCGCCAGGGCCGGAAGCCGCTCTCCGAGCCCGCTTCTTCAGGACGTCTGACAACTTTGCACAGATCTCATCTTTCTGTGCCTTTGTCTTTGGCTTGGGGATCTTACCGTCACCCTTGAGCGGTGATGGGGACACTTTTCCCAGAGAGCCAGACTCAGTCACAGAGGGCGTGGACGCTCTGACCCCTGCATCACACCCCCTGTCAGAACCGTTTCTTGAACTACACTTCTGCAGCTTGCATGGACAGGTCTCGTCTGCTGACGTCTGCCCTCCTGTGCTTATTTTGGTCTGATTATGGGCTCTTTCAGTGAAATGACTTCTATTCTGCTTTAAGCACAGCTGAACTGACAGATCATCTCCTTTTTTCAAATCCTTCATATAATCTTTCTCATTATCTTCCACGGTGCTACTTGCTTGGATCGATACATTCTCCTGCATGTGATGTGTGTCAGCTTTCATTGGTTCTTTAGAAGATGTGGGGCCGGAATTATCTACACAATGTGTCTCTTTCTTAAATTTCTTCTCCATGGGATCACTTTCTTCTTTACAAGGAATAGAAGGAATTTTACAGGTAGGAGTCGGATCCACAGATGTGTTACACTGAGGTACTTTGAATTTTATATTTCTAATAATTTGTTTTAAACAAGTTTGTAATTCGTGTGTTTCTTGACTAGTCAGTTGACAACCTAGAGATAAATTTTTCTGACGAATGAATCCATTGAGCTTGTCCTGGTATTGTTTACAAAGGGTTTGCTGCCCAAGCTGATAACCTTCTTTAAGGAGACTCAGAATCAAATGCACAGAAGCAAGCTGGACAGAGTTAGACGGTGATGAGAACACATTCACTCCAGACGACTTCTCAGAACTCCGTGCAAACGCAGTGGTAGGTAGCTTGGCGCACTTGACCACCGCTTCTACCCATTGCTGTGAGCTCACCCAGAGCAAATGCAAACATTTTTTATTTTTATGCAGTTCAATCACTGACACCAAAATTAAAAGAAAAAATTCAGTGACTTTGTCACACACTGCATCTGTTTGATTGAGGACATCTTTCACTTCGGAGTGCAGATGGTGGATAACCTCTACGATGTAAGCCACACCCAAATCTTTGAGATCCATGAGGGATTGAACAAAAGGGATGAACCACAGGAAGGTACTATTATGAACACGCATGTCTTGACCAATATCTGACTGAAGCACATTGGCTAATGTTTCCATTTCTTCATACATGTTAGGACAATAATCTGGGCAAATGGCTGATCTCCACCCTGCATCCTAAAATGAAACAAATACTGAAATTTAGGTAAACAAGTAACCATTCATAATGGGCTTTACCCCCAAGATGCAAAAAAGAAAATGTATTTCTCGAAGTTTTCTATTTTAGTTAGATATATACATGTAGGTATTGATGCTTAAGTCTCATGAAAAGACAAATGTATATCCTCATCACACACTCTGGGCCTTCTTCCATGAGCTGGCTTTAATTTCTAGTAATGCCACTTATCTCTCCCTTAACCCATAAACTCAAGTAAAATCTAAGTTCCCAAGTGTGCACAGTATAGAATCCCGCCCCCGCCCGATAGACAATGCAGCCTGGACCATCAGCAGACCTTTTTGTAGCAGTTAAGAACAGCTACGTATCATAAAATCAGCAATTCTAACTAGTCATGTGAAATACCCCATGCATAAAAGCAATACAAGGTCATCTAAGTTCATGCAATGTTCTATACCTTTTTTGTCTTTTCAGGATTGTAACTGTATACAATCTGGCTACAAGTCACCATATCATCCAAATATGACTCCGGTTCCAACTTGGTCCTTCAAATATCAAAAACAAACAGAAATTATTGCAATGAAAGAAAACAACGAAACCCCCGCTTGCTAAGTCAGTTGTGAGTCTTGAACCTGGCAGAGAGGTTTGTAACTTGTGCCAAGCACTTAACTGACCTTACAGAACTGTTGCGAATGTTCTGGATCTCTCTGTTGTAGCTCACATTGTTGATAATGGTCTGAAAGGCCTCAATAGGATCAATAAGTTGACCCCAGACCTTGGACCCAAGGCGATCCAGAATCACCATGAAGCAGTGCAGTGCTGGCCAGAAAGGATCCAGACTGTCATCTGAAACAAAATACAGCAACAATCAGGAAAACAGAAAAAATAAACGGAGGATCAGTACATGTTATCGGTCCATAGGCCTACAAGGTTCAGTGTCCACAAAATTCTACACATGCGGGCCCGGTGCCGTGGCCTAGCGGATAAAGTCCTCGCCTTGAATGCTCTGGGATCCGATATGGGCGTCGGTTCTAATCCTGGCAGCTCCACTTCCCATCCAGCTCCCTGCCTGTGGCCTGGGAAAGCAGTCGAGGAGGGCCCAAAGCCTTGGGACCCTGCACCCATGTGGGAGACCTGGAAGAAGTTTCTGGCTCCTGGCTTTAGATCGGCATAGCATTGGCCCGTTGCGGTCACTTGGGGAGTGAATCATCGGACGGAAGATCTTCCTCTCTGTCTCTTCTCCTCTCTGTATATATCTGACTTTGCAATAAATAAATAAATCTTAAAAAAAAATTTTTACACAAGCTTTCTAAAATCCTTTATGAATAGGTGCCTCCTCAGGTTGGTTAAAGAATTTATTGTTGGGGCCCGGAGGTGTGGCCTAGCAGATAAACTCCTCGCCTTGAACGCACCGGGATCCCATATGGGCACTGGTTCTAATCCCGGCAGCCCCACTTCCATCCAGCTCCCTGCTTGTGGCCTGGAAAAGCAGTAGAGGATGGCCCAAAGCTTTGGGAACCTGCACCCATGTGGGAGACCAGGAGGAAGGTCCTGGCTCCTGGCTTCGGATCGGCATAGTATTGGCCGTTGCGCTCACTTGGGGAGTGAATCATCGGAAGGAAGATCTTCCTCTCTGTCTCTCCTCTTCTCTGTATATCTGACTTTGCAAAAAAATAGATAAATCTTTGAAAAATAAATAAATCAATAAAGAGAATTTATTATTGGGCCGGCGCAATAGTGTAGTGGTTAAAGTCCTTGCTTAGCACGCACCAGGATTCCATATGGGTGCCGGTTCTAATCTCGGCAGCTCCACTTCCCATCCAGCTCCATGCTTGTGGCCTGGGAAAGCAGTTGAGGACGGCCCAAAGCTTTGGAACCCTGCACCTGAGTGGGAGACCCAGAAGAGCTCCTGATTCTTGGCTTTGCATTGGCTCAGTTCCAGCCATTGCAGTCACTAAGGGAGTGAACCATTGGACAAAAGATCTTTCTCTCTGTCTCTCCTCCTCTCTGTCTATCTCACTGTCCAATAAAAATAAATAAATTAATTTTAAAAAGTTACTTTGCTTTTATTAGACAGTTGGATAGAGAGAGGAGGAGAGACAGAGAGGAAGATCTTCCATCTGGTGATTCACTTCCCAGGTGGGCACAATGAAGGAGTTGCGCCAATCCAAAGCCAGGAGCTTCTTCTGGGTCTCCCTCGTGGGTACAGGGTCCCAAGGTGTTAGGCCACCCCCCACTGCTTTCCAGGCCACAAGCAGAGAGTTGGATGGGAAGTGGGGCAGCTGGGATTAGAACCGGTGCCCACATGGGATTCTGGTATGTGCAAGGCAAAGACTTCAGCTGCTACTCTACCACATGGGGCCCAATTTGGTTGACAAAATTTCATGGTATCAATCATGACTACCTGGAATCTTTCTCGTCATCCACAATTTTGTATTCACCTCTAAAAACACTAATATTTGTATTTATTAACCACCTAGGAAAACATGCTAAATTCAGGTTACTAAAAGCAGGAAGTAACTCTAACCAACTGATTGCCATTTTAAAGCATCCAAAGTTCTTGGGAAACTTTTGATGAAACTGGCCTACTGCTCAGTCCTGCCATGGACGTTATGTGTATACACGTTGTCTGTCTAACATTTATTAAGAGCTCTCCCCATAACTGGTTTACCAATAAAAATGTACTCATAAATATCACTAAACTAACACAAAAATATTTTTGGCTCACGTGACTTAAATCTCTGATAGGCAATTTTACATTTGTCTATAAAAAGAAACATTTTTAAGTCATTTCATTGACACGTTTTTGTTCAAGTTCACTGGTCAAACAGGTTATTCATGTTAGAGTCTCCCTGCTCTCTGTAATGTACAATTTAGTTTCTATGGTTGTTTGGCAAGAATCCCAACTTCAGGACCCGACACCGTGGCCTAGCGGATAAAGTCCTCGTCTTGAACGCACTAGGATCCCATATGGGCGCCAGTTCTAATCCCGGCAGCTCCACTTCCCATCCAGCTCCCTGCCTGTGGCCCGGGAAAGCAGTGGAGGACGGCCCAAAGCCTTGGGACCCTGCACCTGCGTGGGAGACCCAGAAGACGCTCCTGGCTCCTGGCTTCAGCTTGGCACAGCTTCAACCGTTGCGGTCACTTGAGGAAGATATTTTTCTCTGTCTCTCTTCCCTTCTATATATCTGACTTTTCAATTAAAAAATAAATAAATAAATCTTTAAAAAAATAGAAAGCATTGGATCTTTTCATAAATGTTTTTTCCAAGTTGTTAGTTGACTGCTTTCACTTAATACTGTTACAGAGCTTATGCAATCTGGGAGTTCTGCCTCTCCCTTCATTTCTCTTCTATTCCCAAGTTGAAAAACTTTTTTTTCTTTTTTGCTAAAAATTTTTTTTTAATTTTTTTTTTATTGGAAAGTCAGATATACAGAGAGGCGGAGAGAGGAAGATCTTCCATCCGATGATTCACTCCCCAAGTGGCCTCAACGGCCAGAGTTGAGCCAATCTGAAGCCAGGAGCCAGGAGCCTCTTCCGGGTCTCCCACACAGGTGCAGGGTCCCAAGACTTTGGGCCGTCCTCGACTGCTTTCCCAGGCCACAGGCCGGGAGCTGGATGGGAAGCAGGGCTGCCGAGATTAGAATCAGCGCCCATATGGGGTCCCAGCAAGCGCAAGGCGAGGACTTTAGCTGCTAGGCTACAACACTGGGACCTAAATTTGCTTTATTCTTCATGGCAAATGGCAAAAAAGGAGATGGTCTCAGGTCAGAGTATCAGGACAAAGAAACAGCAAGACAGCAACCACAGCATGGTCCCTGTCCCACTCAGTATCTACCGCCACTAGTACAAGTCCCAGGGCAAAGATACAGTTGGGGGTTTACTTTCAACACCAGCTCAGCCAAATCCTGGCCCCACTGCCTGGGGGAGGACCTGTGAAAGTGCTAGGGAAAACTCACTGGACCGTGAAGAACTCTCTAGAGGTACAGCTTGAGATCCAAGCCTTATGAGATAATCTTTTTTGCTTATAATGCCTGGCCACATATAAAAGACCATTTAGCCTGGCTACATATGTAAGATTAAACAGTACAGCCAAAAATGAGAGCTTAACCTATGCAATAACTTCACAGCTAAATTATTTTGCACTGCACAGCTCTGCTCATAGGCATTACCTTATCCCACGGGCAAAGACTGTCAGTACACGCCTCTGACCACAGACTCCCAGCTCAGCCTATTAAGGAATGACTCAACAGTGGCCTGGAAGACTGACACGGCTCCTTAAGCCAGGCACCACCTTAGACACCTGCTTTCCCCATGTCTTGACCTCCTCAGGGCCCCACTTTACACCCTTTCGGTTTAAGCTGCACTATGCACCAAACCCTGTACTTCAGGATTCCCTGCTCCGCCAATGCCCTGGGGCAGCTCTCAGTGCTATCCACCCACAGCCCCATCGCCAATCCCCGACACCCCCCAGGTGCTCTTCCTTCTCCTCTCCTGGTGCTCTCTCCGTCTCTCTGCATGCTCTCTCTCTTTCTTGCCCCCTCATGCAGAGTCTCTGCTTCCTGCCTTCCTTTCCCGCAGCCGCCTCCCCCTATAGAAATAAAGGACTTCTCATGCCTTGTGGTGTCTGGTGTCCTGGGTCTGTGGTAACAATAGCTAACATATAGAACAGACCATCCCCAGGGCCGGGGCAGGGACTCTACTAGCTAATCCTCTGCCTGCAAGTGGCAGCACCAAATACACACGGCAGTTCATGCCCTGGATGCTCTACTTCGATCCAGCTCCCTGCTACTGGCCTGGGAAAGCAAGAGACATGGCCCAGAGCCTTGGGACGCTGGACCTGCATGGGAGAACCAAAACAAAACAAAACAAAACAAAACCAAAAAAAAGGCTCCTGGCTCCGGGCTTTGGATCGGCTCAGCTCCAGCCATTGCGGCCACTTGGGAAGTGAATCAGCAGATGGAAAATCTTTCTCTCTCTCCTTTTCTCTATAAATCTGACTTTCCCATAGAAATAAATAAATCTTAAAAAAAAAAAAGAAAAAGTTTTACACTAATATTTTCGTTTAAAGTTTCCCACAAATGAGTTTATACTTAAGCTGCTGGAAGACAGTTAACATGTTTAATCTTTAGTGATTCATTCCTTCCTAAAGACTAGAAAAATGTATTGATTTATTTAAGTGGAAATCTTCCATGAACAGCCTGATAGCAACATCCAGCAGAGGAGGATGGGAATGGGGTTCCGCAGTTAACACACATGACCATAACCTGCGGCTTTCTCTTCCACGCCACCTAAAGCAGCAAGGTCCGAGAGAATGTTCTGACGATGGAAATGGTCTCCACCTGCATTGTCTAAAACATTAAGCCACCTGGCCCATGTGGCTCCGGGACAGGATCAGCCTTGGGACAGGATTGGCGAGACTGAACATGTCATCTGTGGCTGATGGTTCCTGCGCACAATGCAGCCCTGGGACTCACGGAGCAAAGGAAGCAATGGGGAATCCTGGGCCGGAGAGGCTTGCCATGTAACGCTGAATTCTGCCTTGTTCCCGAAGGTTCTTCCACAGGTTGAACTTCATTCAGCCTCTTACTTTTTTAGATATGAAAATGTTGACTTCCAGGCTTCAGCACCTCTCATAAAAGGATGGTATTCAATTAAAGTCTGAAGATTCTTTCTAAAGTAAAGTTTGAATGTGTGTCCTGAAGCATAAAAAGTCAACTCTTTTCTTCTACAATACACCTCAATTCAAAAGGTGACACCAAAATTAATTTAAAAAAAGACAAATAAAGACAAAGAAAAAAGAATAAAGTAAAAGGTGACACCAGCCTTTTAAAGTGCATCATCATAGTACACAAAGACAGGTGTCAAGCAGACTTTCTTACCATCTGATTGTCTTTCCATGGTGTGAAGTATTGATTGCATAAAGTCGTTTTGTTTGTCTGACCCCAACAGCAGTGAGTCCATGGCTTGCTCTTCAAGAATGGTCAGCAACATGCAAATCCCTGTAAAACCAGCCACAGCTTCCCTGAACTAACAAAGTTAACAGGAGTCCAGTGCCTTCTCTGATTAAGGCAGGAATGTGCCACTAAAACAAAAACCAGTTCCTCAAACATTTAAGTCTGAGTCACATACACACAACTGCCCCCAATCGGGGCTTTAGGCTTACTCCAATGGAAAAGAGGAAGCAATTCTAGCTTGGATTATCACATAACTTGCATTTCAACGAAACTAAAATGATTTCAATCTTAAGATATACCATACTCCACGTAGCACTGGCAAAGAACAAGTTACTCCAACATGACCCACGCTCCTGAACTGGAATCAGTAAAAGCAAGGGAGACCTGCTTTGAGTCAATACACAAAGAACTTGTAAACAGTGTCACTATCACTGCCTACCAACACCTAACGCAATGAAGAGGCTATTAATGGTTAAACTCCATTTATGTCAACGATTTACTAATATTTTTCTACACTAAGACTGGTTCTCACAGAAGATTCCTTTGACAGTGGTTTTTCTTCTTCAGGAGTTTGCTAATATAAACAATAATAAGAAATGCAATGGATCAATGACTAGAACTGAGAACTCGGGATCTACGGAGCCAGTCGGCGGAGCTGCCGTCCTTCTCGGGACGCTCTGACCGACACACGGCACACAGCACTCACCTAGCCAGTAGTTTTTGTAGTTGGTAGTATCATACATGTGTGAAGGCAGAAGAATCAGTTTGCCCTTTTCAAGAACAGAAGAAGTATAAATGTCGGGACTTTCTAAAAGCCCCAACTCAATGACTTTAAAAAGGCAAGTTAAAACCTCCTGTAAGTCATAGTAATCATCTCTGTCCACTTTTCCCAGATTTCTTGCAGTCAGGATAGCCCAGCGTCGAACCTAAAGGTGGAAACAATGTTCATTACTTCACTCGACAAGCAATGGTCTACATACAGCAACCAGACGGATAAAAACAGGATTCTCTGCACATTTCAAGGCTAAAAGAGGGGGCAAGCATTGTGGTGTGGCAGCTCAAGTTGCTGAGATGTCAACAAACCACAAGCATGGCCAGTTTGACCCTGGCTGCTCCCTGCTAATGGCCTGGGAAAAGCAGCAGAAGACGACCCAAGTGCTCTGGCCCCTGCACACACGTGGGAGACCTGGATGAGCTCCTGGCCTCAACCCGGCCCAGCACTGACCATCAGTCATCTGGCGAGTGAATCACAGACTAGAAGAGTTCTCTAACCTTCTCTGTTACTCTTTCAACCAATCTTTGAAAAGATCTTCCTATTTCCCCTCTCTCTGTAAATCTGTCTTTCCAATAAAAATAATTTTTTAAAAGTAAGTAAAGGGCCCGGCGTGGTGGTGCAGTGGTTAAGGTCCTCGCCTTGCACGCCCGGGATCCCATATGGCCTCTGGTTCTAATCCCGGCAGCCCCTCTTCCCATCCAGCTCCTGCCTGTGGCCCGGGAAAGCAGTAGAGGACGGCCCAAAGCCTTGGGATCCTGCACCCGTGTGGGAGACCTGGAAGAGGCTCCTGGCTTCGGACTGGCATAGCATCGGCCGTTGCGCTCACTTGGGGAGTGAATCATCGGAAGGAAGATCTTCCTCTCTCTGTCTCTCCTCTCTGTATATCCGCCTTTCCAATAAAAAATAAAATAAATCTTTAAAAAAAAAAAAGTAAGTAAAACATGTATGAAGTAGTAATTAATGTAATGTGTAGATCTTTAATCTCGATTGAAAGCAGCCCTAACAGACCACTTATGACACAATCATTTGCACTTATTTAAACACTGATGGGAAATATGGTAGTAAGGCATTACTATCATTTTAACTGTGCCAATAGTACTCAAAATCGTATCTGAAATACGGTCGGCCTGAATAAATGCTATGAGAACCCTTGACCCAAGTGAGCAGGCGCTCCTGTGACCTAGCAAAATGCTGGCAATCTCTCCTCCGACCGTCCTGAGGGCCTAGCAGTCCTGCTCCAGGCGGGGTCCGAAGCCCACCCACCCTCCCGACGCCCTGCTCTCCCAGACAGCGTGCAGGTGCACCTGTCAGCTCTCCCATCTAGATCCCACCTTCGCCTGAGCATTTTCCACCCCTCACGTCTTCGGCCGACTGAGGTACATTCCGTAACCTGCTCAGTTGTCTCCCAAGTGTGTTTAGTCACATTTAAGTCATTAATCCACCTAATCTTTTTTTTTAAGTATCCTAGTTCAATCTTTAAAAAATATAGATGGCTGGTCTTGTAATGGTGGTTTTCAAGTACTTCTTTTACATATCACTTTTTATATATAAATGTACACACATTTTATAAACAACATCTGCTGTATAATTCTAATTCTCAAAATTCAAAACTCAGAAAGTTCTGAGAGTATAATCCCTTCTCACAGGGACCCCTACCCACACACACCTGCGGGCCTCTGACAAGGACTCAGCTGAGCCTGTGTCCCTCTGCAGAGCCTTTGCAAGGCGCTCCTGGGAGGGACGCACGAGCAGGGCCAACAGCCAAGTCTCAGGACAGCTTGGGAGACGTTCAGGACTGCCCTTTCCACACTCAGATATCAAAGACACACTGTTGTCTCCGTCCACCTGTGAATTTATTTCTTTTATTTTTTGAGGGATAGTCCTACCAGTTCTGTTTTACGCAAGGGTTTCACTCCAGCTCCTCAGCTGAAAGCCACTAACAAGCCAAGTGAAAGCCCTGATCTGAGCAACCTTGGCCAATAGTCTCAGGACAGCTGTGGCCTGCCTCTCTTGCTCTCTCTCTCGCTTGCTCTCTCTCTGCTTTCCTGTACTCACTAACTGGCACCGGTGTTGTTTCCAAGTTCATTCTAAGTGTACTATCAACTTTTTATATGTATGCAAGGGGTACTTCAAAAATCTGGCATTGGGAGAGGTTCTGATGGAGTAGCCTGGGCAACTCCTCTGGCAGGACACAGACCCTGCGGGTAAGCGCAAGAAGCATGAATGGAAACTGCCCATAGTAGGTCACAAGACGTTTCCCACTGGCATACATTAGGCATGGATCGGGGGCAGACCAGGCTGAATCAGTTCACGTCATCACTGGCAAATCCAAGCACCAGAAGAGAGTGAGGGTCGAGCCAGGTTCAGCCGCGATAAAAACCAGTCCACAATACAGAATGCCAGGGTGAGGGTACCTGTACTGGATGTGACTGCAGTGCCCATCCAGCACACGTGAGAACCAGGAAGGGAGGGGGCAGAGCCAGCAGGGGAATAATGGGTGGTTCCCCTGCTAGACAGCTACTCCCACTGGAGAGCATGAACTGGGATGGGGGCAGACCAGACTAAGCAGGGCTATAACACCTGTACGCCTCACGTGGACTAGATCAGGGAAAAGTCAGGCTGGGCTGATTATTCCTACTGGTGCAATCTACAATCAGTGGGCGAGGGTTGTTTGGGCATAGCCGCAGCATCAGCTGGTAGAAACTGGCACTGGGGGGTAGGGGGTAATTCTGTCAAATTAAACTGCAGAACCACCTGGGAAGTGCACACTATGGGAGTGAGAGACCTGGGAGGGAAATAGTGGGTTCCCCCTTCTTGGGTTACCACTCCCATGGGAGGGCATGAAAACTAGGACAGGGGCTGGGGTAGCTAGACAGAGAGGCACTCAACAACACCCGTGAGGGGCTTGATTGTTGAGCTGGTTAGATGGTCTAAGCTTCAATGCCAATTGCCACATACGAGAGCTAAGGGGGATGTGGGACAGATTGGACTGGTCTGCTACACATACTGGAAAAAACCGGGTAGGGGCGGGCCTGGTGGGGGTTATTGTGGGTCGCTCTCACCAGGCTGCAGCTCCCACTGGTTTATGCGAGGGCCGAGTATGCGCTGTGCAGAACCAGTCTGGACTGCAACACCCATTGGTTCCAGTGGAAGGCAGGGCTGAAAACAGAACTAACCCAGCAATTGCAACTACCAGCTGATGGGGGCATGGACTGTGCTGGGCCCTGTACTTGCTGGTGCATACAAGAATCTGGTCTGGGAACACCTCAGACGAAGTTTCTTTGGGGATCTCCCCAATTGAAATGTTGAACTCAGAACCCTAACCATAAAAGGACAGAAGATGGAACAAGTTAATCAACCACCTCAGCTATAGGTTGGCAACAAAATACCAGGCAAATAGAGACGCTATGATGGACAATGTCAATTAATGGATTTTTCAACGACCTCATCGTGTTTGGAGAGGCGAGACTGGCAGTGATTCGTAACTGTTGAACTATCGAAACCACTTGAGCGAGTATCTCAGAGCATGCCCCACATGCGGGACTAGGGGTGGGTGGGAAACCAGGTGGGACTTCTCCCTTAATATCCCCCTTTACCTCAGATACATGAAGGAAACAATATGGAAATAATAATCTTACCCACTTTCCTATAGCCTTTGAACCTTTTTACCCAAATTAACTATGTAAAGATTGTAAAAAAAAAAAAAAAAGTTCATGCAAAATCAAAATTAAAAGATAACGTGGGCCTAGGGCGTGGCGTGATAGTGTAGCAGCTCACGTCCTCTCCTTGATCATCTTCTTGAATCCAACTGGACCCTTACTATCCTGTGTCAATCTAATCCTTCTGTTCTCAAAATAATGAATTTGAAAAGGAGAAAGACACAGAGAGCTCGCATCTGCTGAAGCACTCCTTACACGCCCTGAGCCACCTGGACCGGGCAGCCAGGTCCCCACGGGAGGCAGGGAAGCCACTGCCTGGCGTCACCCGCTGCAGCCAGGGTGCAGACACTTCACCTTGGGAACGGGTGTCCCGAGCAGAGCCCTCACTGCTGGGCAAATGCTTGGATTCTGTGTCTTCATGTGTCATCATTTCCTAAGAGGAGCTTCTCAGCTTTGATAGTATTTTCATTATTCTTACTATAGGTTTTCATTCTCTTGACATACTAGACAGGTCCTTAAAAGCAGCACACTACTCTCTAAGTTTCAAGAAATGTATTGGGCAAAATGATTATTGAAAAAAATGTATTTACATGTTTCTCCACTATTTCCTCATCTTGACCTTTTCTTTTGAGTTTTTTTTTAACAGAATTTTTTTTTTCCCATTTGAAAGGCAGAGTTAAGAGACAGACAGATCTTCCATCCACTGGTTCACTCCTCAAATGGCACATGCCCCAGAGCTGTGCCCAGCTAAAGCCAGGAGCCTCTTTCGTGTCTCCCACATGGATGCAGAGCACAAGGACCTGAGCCATCCTTCACTGCCATAGCAGGAAGCTGGAGTGAAAGTGGAGCAATCAAGACGAGAGCCAGCATCCGTATAGAATGTCAGCACTGCAGATAGAGGCTTAGTCCACTACATGTTAGCTCCAGCTCCCTATTCCGGGATTTCTACGTTAATATTACTACTTATATCCTTAACACCTCATAGCTTTTCTTTATATATTTTCTATTTATCTTTCTCTTCTTAGGAATCTGCTCAATGTAATCCAATAATTCAATAATTCAATAATTTCCTATTATATTATTTATTCTGTCTCCTAAAGCCTTTATTCTAAATATCACATTTTTCACATCTTGCAACTCCTCCATGCTTGCTTCTGTTCTATTCCTGGCCCACAGGAAGTTGGCTTTTACGGGGTGTCACTATCCCTTTTGACTTCTGTCTTTTCAGAATTGTTTTCTCTATCTTATATGTTAGATAAGGAAAAAAATTCACTACTGTCTTCACAAAAATTTCCACTAGCGTATTCTTGGTTGCTTTCAATATGTCTTTTTTCCAATCTTTTGAACACATGTACGTACCTGAGGGGCAGAGAGACAAAGAGCTCCCCTCTGCCGGCTCTCCAAACGCACACAGCGGCAGGGCTGACCCGCACGGGCAGCGAGGTCTTTCAGGCAGCGGAGGTCTCACGCCACTGCCTGCCAGGGGACCTGCCACAGCAGGAAGCTAGAGTGCCAGGACAGCCCCTAGCCTCGGGCATGTGGATGCTGGGGGCAGGGTACCTGCACACAGCCCACCCCGTGCAAGACCCGCTGCGGGGCTCCCTGCTGGTCCATCTGCATTTGGGCACTTAGAATCGTCCCAGGTCCCCTTTCCCTAATCCAGTTTATATATTTTCAGATATTTCATCTGGTACTTCCATGAGAGCAGGCAGGTACAAAAATCAAGAAGAGTCGTCCTTTAGCTAAGATGCTAAAAGAAATCAAATTCCTCCTCATTTGCATTTATCTTATGCTCAACCTTCTTGTTTTTGTTTTATTATTTTGTTTTCGTTCATGCTAAACCTTCACGTGCTACCAAGTACTCTCCCCCCCCACAGAGCCCACAACACCTTCTACTTAGCTGCAGTAATTTTAAAATGAGAAAAAAACAGCAAATATTTTAAACAAAATACACAGCAAAAACATTTTTTTAAAGATTCTTTTTTTTTTTTTTACTGCAAAGTCAGATACGCAGAGGAGGACAGACAGCGAGGAATATCTTCCATCCGATGATTCACTCCCCAAGTGGCCAGAACGGCCGGAGCTGAGCCAACCCAAAGCCAGGAGCCAGGAGCTCTTTCAGGTCTCCCACATGGGTACAGGGTCCCAAGGCTTTGGGCCGTCCTCGACTGCTTTCCCAGGCCACAAGCAGGGAGCTGGAGGGGAAGTGGGGCTGGCAGGATTAGAATCGGCACCCATATGGGATCGTGGTGCATTCAAGACGAGGACTTTAGCCACTAGGCCACCGCGCTGGTCCCACAAAAACTTTTATTAAAAATATTCATCACTGGGCCGCCGCTGTGGCGTAGTAGTAGGCTAACCCTTAGCCTGGAGCACCAGCATCTATATGGGCACTGGTTCAAGCCCCAGCAGGCTCCACTTTGGACACGGTTCTGAAGGCTTGGGCTCCTGCACCTACGTGGCATCCCCATAAGAAACTCCTGCCTTCAGATCAGCTCAGCACCAGCCACGTGGCCCTCTGCACTGTGAACCAGCAGACGGAAGACCTATCTCTCCTTTTCTCTGTAACTTTGCCTTTCAAATAAAAATTTTAGAAAAATATTTGTCTAAGTTACCTATACGTACAAAGATAAAATACATTCTTCCACTGACCAACACTCATCACACTCACCATTTCATTGGGATGAACCAAAAACAAATAGATCCCCGGATGTTTGTCAAAAACCTGAAAGGAGCAGTTGGCCTGTTCCATGCGACAAAGTGCTTCAACACACAATTCATCTAAACAGAAAAATAAAAAAGCAGCAAATCAAATACATAAATCCTGACTGGTTATGAAACACCCTCTGATGCTGGGTCCTTTGGAAAGATGTCTCCCAGCAACACACACTGCTCTGGTCCCCTCCCCCCCAGTGCCACGCTGAGCTCTGCTAGGGACACCCCAAGAAGAGCAATCCCCTGAAGGTGCAACACAGCAAGACCCAGACAAAGGCACAACCTGCGGGGTGGGCACACTGCTCACATGATCGCTCCTTCTTCTTTCATTGAAAATTTCAATTACAATGGGAAGAAAAAAAGAGTTGGGAAGAAACGTTACCTATTATTAACTACTGTAATATTGTAACTATTGCAGCAGACCAATCCCAATGCAGATGAAGCTAACCTCTCAGCACGTCATCCTTGAGAAAGAGCCCAGGTACTCACTAACACGCTCATGCAGAAGCAGGTAAGGGTATTTCAGGATCTCAAGAAGAGGAACACGAAGCTTGTTTTCAAAATCCTGGCCAGAGAAGTCGAACAGCTGAGCTTCGCCATTGTTGTCCACTATATATAATTCATCATTGTCTCCAATTTCTGCCTTCATCGATTTTTCAAAATGGTTTATAAGACGTAAGGTTTCTAATTCCCATAAAACCTACAGAGAAAGAAAACGGACAGTGTGCTGTATCCTAACACAGTACACCAGATGTCAGTCACTCTAGGAAAGGTTTTCCTAAGCTCAAAGACGCGATAGCCATCACACACAGACACCTTGCTCGTGTTGTGTTTGGTGCCAGACCGTAACAATAAAGTGAACTCCAAAACAAAAAACAAGCCGAGGGCAGGTGGCACAGCAGAGCAGGGCACACTCACCTCAAAGTGCATGGCACGCAGTCTCACCTCTCCTTCCAATCCAATTTGCTGCTACCAGGCACCCTGATTGTCAGCTCATGGTGACTCAAATCCCAGGGTCCCTGTCACTACTTGGGGAGACCCCAGACTGCGTTTCAGGCTCCAGGCTCTGCCCGGCCCAGCCCACGCTGCTGCAGACACTGGGGAAGTGATCCAGCAGACCGACCATTTCTGTCTACCCCACTCATCTGTCCTTCAAATAAACAAAAATGAACTTTACAAAGAAAAAGTCGCAGGGTCACATGAGCTTTTCTTTTCCCAGCCCCTGAGTACACTGCGCCCTCGGGAAGTGTGCAACAGCGCAATCTAAAGAATAAGGTGTGGGCATGCGCCCAAGAGACGCCACGCACCATCTGAACCTTCAGTCCGAACCACTCCTGCTGGCAGGCGGCAAGCTGCTGGCTGCGACAGTCACAACACTGCCACTGCTGCCCTGACACCCCCTTCCTTCATGAAAACTTGCCCAGAGCAGCACTCTGCGATAGCATTTCATCCACAGAATGTCTTTCCGAACTGGAGTCAGTCGTCTCAAATCCTGGTCCTACTCTCCACCAAGTCAGTAAGTGTGATAACCCAACACTGTCTTATCCTATCAACATTCACAGCGCCGGGCCCGGCGCAGTGGCACAGTGGTTAAGGTCCTCGCCTTGCACGCCCGGGATCCCGTATGCGCGCTGGTTCTAATCCCGGCGGCCCCGCTTCCCATCCAGCTCCTGCTGTGGCCTGGGAAAGCAGCTGATGACGGCCCAAAGCTTTGGGATCCTGCACCCACGTTGGAGACCCAGAAGAGGCTCCTGGCTTCAGATCAGCATAGCATCGGCCGTTGCGCTCACTTGGGGAGTGAATCATTGGACAGAAGATCTTCTTCTCTCTGTCTCTCCTTTCTGTATATCCGCCTTTCCAATAAAAGTAAAATAAATCTTAAAAAAATAAAAGTGCACTATTCTCTGTCTTTGAGTCATTTAAAATTTTATTTATTTTTGTTGGAAAGGCAGATTTATAGAAAAATATACAGAGAGAAACATCTTCCATCTGCTGGCTCACTGCCTGAATAGCCACATTGGCTTAGAGCCAAGCCAATCTGAAGCCAGGAGCCTCTTGCGGGTCTCCACACAGGTGCAGGGTCCCAAGGCTTTGGGCCGACCTCGACTGCTTTCCCAGGCCACAAGCAGGGAGCTGGATGGGAAGCGGGGCTGCCGGGATTAGAACCAGCGCCCATATGGGATCCCAGGGGTGCAAGGCGAGGACCTTAACCACTGCGCCATCGCACCAGGCCCCAATGGTACACTTTTTAATGGCCACAATAATTACACTGAAGCCAGTAGTAGGGAGCTGAATTGGAAGTGGAGCAACTAGGATTCCAACTGTTCCCCACAGAGGATGACGGCATCACAGTGACTTAACCTGCAAGGCCACAGCACCAGCTCCACAGCGAGGATGTTACACGGCCACATAACCAGGAAATTTCGTAAGATTCAAGTTTCAGGCATGGCACAGTAGCTCAGTTAAAAGACTAATAATGCTTTGTCTGCAAGCACCAGGACCCCATACAGAGGTCAAGTTCGTTTCCTGGCTGCTCCACTTTCCATTCAGCTCCCTGCTTATAGCCTAGGAAAGCATTGGAAGAAGACCCAGGTCCTTGGGACCCAGCACCTGCATGGGGAAGCTGGGAGAGGCTCCTAGTTCTAGATTGACTCAGCTCCAGCCGTTGTGGCCACCTGGGAACAAACCAGCAGATGGAACATTGATTTATTTCTACTTCTCCCTGTAAATTTGCTTTCCAATTAAAAAATAAATATATCTTAAAAACTTTTCAAGTTTCTCAGCACAGATCCATAGCTCTATCCGTGTTCTTTCCCCAAGAAAATAAACTAAACAAACTTCTCAGAGCCACACATTCAGGATTTTATCTCTCACTTCAGTTTGATGACTATAAAATAGGCCTGTCGGGCCTGGCACCGTGGCCTAGCGCTAAAGTCCTCACCTTGTACGCGCCAGGATCCCATACGGGCACAGGTTCTAATCCCGGCAGCCCTGCTTCCCATCCAGCTGCCTGCTGGTGGCCTAGGAAAGCAGTCCAGGACGGCCCAAAGCCTTGGGACCCTGTACCTGCATGGGAGACCCAGAGGAGGCTCCTGGCTCCTGGCTTCCAGTCAGCGCAGCACTGGCTGTGGTGGTCAACTGGAAAGTGAATCACTGGATGGAAGATCTTCCTCTCTGTCTCTCCTCTCTGTATATCCGCCTTTCCAATAAAAATTTTAAAAAAATAAAAAATAAAAAAATATGCCTGTCCTGGGCATGATGGCTCAGTGGCTAAAATCCTTGCCTTGCATGCACTGGGATCCCATATGAGAACTGGTTCGTATTCGGTTGCTCCACTTCCCATCCAGCTCCCTGCCTGTGGCCTGGGAAAGCAGTCAAGGACGGCCCAAAGCCTTGGGACCCTGCACCTGCGTGGGAGACCCAGAAGAGGCTCCTGGGTCCTAGCTTCGGATAGGCTCTTCTCCAGCCGTTGCAGTCACTTTGGGAGTGAATCATTGGACGGAAGATCTTCCTCTCTGTATAACTGACTTTCCAGGAAAAATATATATTTAAAAAACAGGTAAGCCTGCCCTTGCAGGTTTGTATTATTTACCCACTAAAAAATGAAAAATGCTGTCATTTTTAAAAGCCTCAAAGCCACTCAGACACAAGAACACAACATTCACAAATGCACTGACAAAGCAGCAAAAATACCCACATGGCTCCACTTAGTTCAGCTGTTTTACACCAGAATGTGGAAGATATCAGCATCCCACCCTGCTGTTCCACATGTCCCGGGAACCGTGAGCGGGGCTCCCGGCTTCTGACAGGTCAGTCTGACTCTCCCAGTCACCCGCACCGAGTACCTCATGCAAGAAAGGCAGCTCGTCCCTGGCCCTGTGGTACTCGGCCACACACTCCAAGCAGTAGCACAGGTCTTCCTCAGCTGTGTGGAAGTCATCAGGCGGAGCCTTGGCAGCATAGCGCTTCAGGAAGTCGACGGTGGATAAGCCACCGGGCGTGCACCAGCAGCACGTGCTCATTCTGTCCCTGGAAGAGGAAGACAGCTGGAGTGAACCAAGAGCCACCCTCCAGCCTGCGCTGCATGGAAAGCGGGTGTCGTCTGGTCTGGTGACCGTGACCTGGACCTCAGACAGTGCCTCCACTGCCAGCATGTCCTGCTGGCCACCTCAGCAATCACTAACCTCAGAAAATAGTGCAAAACTTAACCTTTGACACACAGAAAACATCAACAAGCCATTTTGCTAATAATAAACATCATAAAGTAGTACATAGCTATGCTGTGAAGAAAGCAAAAAGCTACACAAATCTGACAAGAAATGCCGCGAGACACTCGTCAGGGTTTTCAAAGTACAGATATTGAAGTGTTTCTAGCAATGAGGGAAACATTCAAGAAACCTTCAGATCCCCAGACACCAGGCCAGATGCTGCAAACACGGAGCCCATAAAGAACAACTTGCACAACCAAATACTCCTGGAAACCTTCCCCCGCCTTGCTGCGTGTGTGCGTGAGTGAGAGACTCCGCCATCACCCACTGCTCTCTGTGCACGATGACCTACTGCTACCAAGCTGAACACTTACTTCTTACCGACTTTCTGGTCCTCTGCTAGAAAACTCAAAAGGGAACAGGGGCAATGGCAGGCTGCTCTGGCATTTCCTCCACCCCAGCTCCCCTTCCGCTGTGGCTTGCATAAACATCAAAGTTGTCACAGACCCGCCCTGAGCCTGCTGACATCTGCACTCAACACGCCTTCCCTGGGTGACAGGATTCAAGCCACTGGTTTAACCAGGCCCTCCCCAGAAGCTTTCCTGGCTGAGAAGGTATGCGAAGCTCTTGATGCAGGTTCAATTAGCTGTTACCCAACCACTTCAGGGCAGCCTGGCCCAGCATTGCAGACAAGTGATGACAGGAAGCCGCATCGGCATCCCCTGTGGGTGCAGGTTCGCCTCCCGGCTTCTCCACTTTGATCCAGCTCTCAGTTTGTAGCCTGGCGGGGCCCCTGGGAGAGACCTGGAAGAAACTTCTGGTTTCAGAGCAGCTCAGCTCTGGCCACTGGGACCACCTGGGGAGCAAACCAGCAAATGCATGATCTGGCTCTCCTTCCCTCTCGCACGTGGCCCTCCCAGGGAGCCCTGTCCCATCCACTGCCTGTCCTCTGTCGGCCGGCCCAAGAACAACGCTGCCAACGCAGGAGAAACCTGCAAACTGTGCTCGCTCCCTCTTCCCCCACTCAGCTTGACTGGCGCGTGAGACCCCCACCTCGACGGCACCTCTACCAACTGCCTTGAACCCCTCCAGCCTCCGCTCCACTGCCTGGTCACAGCATGGCAGCCCAAGTCTGCAAGGGACAGGAAGGTACAGCAGAGGTACCACACCGCACGAGGAAGCAGGTGGCACCTCTGAGCCACCAGTCCCTTGAGCCCTGAGCATCTGTAGCAGTCCCAGCTTATCTCACTGTCATCTCACCTTACAGCCCAATTAGGAGACACGACCCTGCGTTTCACCGTGTATGCTATACTCGCACATACCTTGCCTACTTGTTCTACGGTCCCTGGAGGGAGCATGAGGGTCCCCTGGCTCACGGTGGCATCACAGCAGTGCCAGGCACCTAAGACAACCGGTCCCTCTGTGAGCCAGCTGAGCAACTGTCCCGCAGGGTCCCTGCAGATGCCCACTATCTTGGCCCCCTACCTGCTGCTCCCTGCCCTCGCCTCTAGCTCTCCCACCTCCTCTGCTTAAGACTACTGGGGGTGAGCATTACCTGGACAGCGTACGCTCCTAGGGCAGTCCTAACACGGCATGTAACCCTGCTTCCTCTCAGAGTTAGCATCGCAGCATATTAATACATTTCACACTTGGAGAGAATTACAACTGTATTTTTGGGAATGCACCGGGTGCGTTGCACTCACCCTCTATTCCAGACCTTGGCCCAGGCCTCTCCAGGTAAGGCTCACCTCTAGCTCCTGCCGTGGTACCTAGTTAGCGGGTTAGTTCATGGGTTTGATTTCTACTATAATTTAACATTCCTCACAGCATCACACTCACCTCAGATCTCAGAAAGGTGGAGATGAGGAGACTCTGCAGCGTCAAGTGGCCAGTGTTCCATGTCGCCTGTGGTCACTGCCTCTCCCTCCCCAGGACCCTGTCCGCAGCACTGAACCCCTGTCACTAGCCCCAACCTCTCCCCAAGTCCCAAGAAACTGTTCTCTTTTATACCAGTTTGCTCAGATCAAGTGACTTAAAAGTGCTTTTTTTAAAAAAAATCCTTACCTGGGTAACCAGCCTACAGAGAAGCGTTCCTCTTCGTGAGCGCGCTGGGTTACTGATGCTCCAGGGCAGGGGTGCGCTCACAATCACGCACACTCAGGGCCCAAAAGCGCATTTCTGAAACTAAAGACAGAGCTGAGCTCAGACAACGCTCTGATGCTGTCAGGGTCCGCAGCAAGCTGAGGCCGGGCGGTGGGCGGTCCAGCCCATCAGCTGCCCGGCTCCGCCCCGCAACAAACCGCTCCACACGCCGGGCTCTTCCGCCCAGCAGCAGGCCGGAGCGGGCGGACCAGGCCCGGAGCCCCTGTCCGCGCGCCATCCCGTCTGGAGAGCGCCGGGCCGGCCGGAGGCCACGCCGACAACCCCGACTCACGCAAGAAAGGGCCGCGGGGCGGTGTGGACAGCTCTTTCTGCCGCAAGGGAGCTAAACAGGTGCTACACGCAAAGGCGCTCACACGAGGCGGCAGGAACCGGGTCCCTAGCAGAAAACACAGCCGGCCCGCCGCCGCCGCCGCCGCGACCCTTCCAAGGGAGGGCAGGCCCGCGCCGCCCTGCCCCCACTCGCCGGGACTCACGGGCCGCGACGGTTGTTCCCGGCACTCCCGCACGAGCCCGCTGCGCCGGCACTGCCCAAGCACAGGCTGCGGCGGGAGCGCGACGCTCGGCTCCGCCGCTTCAGATCAGAAACAGGCGCTAGCCCACCTCCATGCCCGGCCGCGGGCCCGTACTTCCGCCCGCGGCCTCCGAGCCCCAGGCCCCGCCCCCGCGCACGCCCTCTCCCTGGCCCCGCCCCCGCGCGGACTCGACGCCTAGTCCCCGCCCCCGCGCCGATACGGCCGGCCTAGGCCCTGACCCCGCGCGGACGACACCGCCCTCGGCCCCGCCCCCGCGCCGATACGGCCGCCCTCGGCCCCGCCCCCGCGCCGATACGGCCGCCCTCGGCCCCGCCCCCGCGCCGATTCTGCCGCCCTCGGCCCCGCCCCCGCGCCGATTCTGCCGCCCTCGGCCCCGCCCCCGCGCGGACGACACCGCCCTAAGCCCGGTTCCCTCGCCCTTTGCTCGTCTGGGTGCGTGGAGGCGTGGGCCGTGGGAAGGGCAACCGCGGCGCGTCGGCCGGCGTGGGGCCGAGCGTCACTTCCGGAGGGCTGGGTTGGGGCGGGGAAGCAGGCGGCCTGCCAATCAGGCCGTGTGCGGCCCCGCCGGCTCCAGCCGGCCCGGTCGGCGACTCGCTGGCCTGCGGGCGGCCGAGGCCCGGCGGGAGCGTCGGCAGGGATGGCGCTGAGGGCGCCCGTGCGCGGCCTGCGGAGCCGCTCTCCCGAGACCTGCCACGGAACGCAGGTGTCACCTGGGGCCCGGGAAGACCAGCGCTCCGTGCGGCAGCTGAGGGGGCCACTCGGGAGTGCGTGGGACCGGGGGTCGGCACACGCCGCCCGCCGACGGGCCGGGGGTCTTCACACGCCGCCCGCCCACGGACCGGGGGTCTTCACACCCCGCCCGCCCACGGACCGGGGGTCTTCACACGCCGCCTCTGCCAGGGCATCTCGGGCCCGTGGCACACGCGGTGTCCGGCGAGCGTCTGCGCACCCGCCCACCCCCCTTGCTCCGCCTTTCAAGAAAAAAAAACTAATTCAAGTACATATTAGAAAACAAAAATCCTGAGTATTTATGCCTGTCAAATAAGTCTTAAACACTGAGGGCCCGCTGGCGTGGCCTGGCGGCTGAACCCGCCGGGATCCCGTGTGGGCGCCAGTTCACGTCCCGGCTGCCCGCTTCCCACCCAGCTCCCTGCCCGTGGCCCGGGAAAGGAGGACGGCCCGGGCTCTGGGACCTGCACCGCGTGGGAGACCCGGACGAGGCGCCCGGCTTGGGATCGGCGCTTCTCCGGCCACTGCGGCCACTTGGGGGACGGAAGATCTTCCTGTCTCTCCTCTCTGTGTATCTGACTTTATGATAAAAATCTTAAAAAAAAAAAAAAAAACTAATTTAACGTTTTAAACACAAGCCTCTCAAATGTTAAAAAAAAATAATTCAAATAAATCTGGGGAAAAAACCCTCATTAAAAATGCCTCTCAAATTAATCTTGAAGAAAACTAATTCAGGGAAAGGAGTCAGGGAAATCCCAGAGTCTATGGAATTGTATCAAAATAATTTTAAAAATGGAAAAAGAAGATAAAATTAATTCAAATCTTTAAAAAAAATCGAATTATGCCTCTCCAATCTTAAACAAGAAACTCATTTTTAAAAACAAAAAAACCCTCAGTAATTATGCCTCTCGAATGTGTAAAAAAATAATTCAAATAAATGTTTTAAAACTCTTAAGTATGTCTTTCAAATCATTGCAAAATCCCTAATTCTGCCTTTCAAATAAGTCTTTAAAACATCTTGTTACTTTTGCTTTTTAAAGAAATCTTTCCTAAAAATAAAAACCAAATGCCCCCACGTTGATAAGACGAGGCTGAAGATACCCTACATTACTGGCAAGACTCCCCATTAGAAAAAGAAGGATCCTTCCATGCGCTCTACCCGGGTGCCTGGCTGGGGAGGGTCTTACCCAGGAGACCCCAAGACCAGAAGGAGAAGAACCCGCCTGGAACGGAGAATATATAACCAGAGGGAAGGTTCTGGTGGGAGGGCGTGGCTTGCGGGGAGCCCGGGCCAATGGCAGGCGAGGACGTCATCCCAGGAGTGGGGGAACTCCAAATTGGGGCTGGGGCAACGACCGTTATTCCCCTCCCCCACCTGCCAACGTTCTCAGGGACTTCCCCCACGATCCAACCAGGTGACCAACCGTTGCCAGCTGTAGTGGGTTTTAAATTGTGTATCCTTTTTAAACAATTCTTTTCCTCCCCCCACTCGGAAATAAAGGATCTGATGGCTACTAAGAATTCTTTTTTAAAAAACGGATTTTTTTTCGAAAAGCTAAACAAGAGGGCGGAAATCCTGTGTCGCTGAAATAATTTAAATCGCCATTTGAATGCGCACCCTGGTAGATCTTACCCCATAGATGTTAGTCATCTGTTTTTTAAATTGGTTTTTTATTAACACTAGCTATAAAATTGGTTTATAGTAAAAAGTAACTACAAAAGAATTTAAGTTCCCAGGCACCCATGACATTCTGTGAAACCAGCCTAGACCAGAACAGACCAGTCCAGACCAGAACATGAGCCTGTATTTGGAACAGGGGGACTTAGCCACTATACTCGGTCATTTTGGACATTCAAACCAAGCGAGCAGTACACGCAAATGTTTTACTTTTTTAAATGTTTTATTCACTTGAAACACAGAATGACAGAGAGAGGGTGAGGGGGAAGGGAAAGGGGTGAAGGAAAAAAGGAGAGAGGTGAGAGAAGAGGGAAGCAAGAAGGAGGAAAAGGGAATGTGGGGCGAATTTCCCGTCTTGTACCTGCTCCACACGGCCGCACCCTCCAGGCTGGACCAGGCTGAAGCCACCACCCAGAAAACTCCATCCTGGTCTCCCACAGGAGTGGTCGGGGTCCAAACTCCTGGACCGTGTTCCACTGCTTTCCCAAACATGCTAGCAGGGAGCTGGATCCGAAGGGGAACAGTCAAGATTTGAACTAGTATTCCAATATAGGACGCAGGTAGCTTACCTCTCTGCCACAATGCCAGCACCCTACATTTTACAAAATAGGGGGAGAACAAGAGGGTTGGATATTTTACTGTGTTCAAGATTTCTTTGAAAAAGTTGTGTTCGGCTTCACAGGGCTGCCAGTTTTTAGAATTACTCAATTTCATGTGTCAAGCGTGTGCCACGTGCAAGCGGTGCGGCTTTATGGTGGTGTGCGGCCAGGTGCTTCAAGCCTTACCGAAACGGATGAAATAAAGACAGCCGGTGGAAGCCACGGACATGTATGACAGCAGCAGGGCTCTCAGAACCCAGCTCAGAGCGGACGGCCAGGGAAGAAAAGTACACTCAATGCTGATTGGTAGCTAAATTTGGAGAGATGAGGAAGTCCTTGTGAGGGAGAGGGCAGCGGGACTCGGGCCAGAGGTCCTGGGTGGAGGGATGCTGCTCTCCAAGGGTGAGACGCACCGGGGCTCTGGCCAGGAGCGTTAGACGCACATCTCACATTGCCCTCAAGAGTAGCTTCACCAGCTGCCTCACTAGATTGGAACTGAGTTGGTCTCTCTATGGTTTTTTAAGACTTTATTTGAGGGCCAGCATGTTGGCTCAACTGGCCATTTCCAAGCACTACATCCCATACGGGCACCGATTTGTGTCTACTCCAGCTCCCTGCCTATGGCCTGGGAAAGCAGTCAAGGACAGCCCAAAGCCTTGGGGACCCTGTACCTGGGTGGAAGACCTGGAGGAAGCTCTGGGCTCCTGGCTTCAGATCCGCTCAGCTCCAGCCATTGCGATCATTTTGGGAGTGAACCAGCAGATGAAACATCTTTTTCTCTGTCTCTCCTTTGCTCTGTAAATCTGCTATTCCAATAAAAGGAAAAAAAAAAAGATTTTGCTTCTTTGAAAGGTACTAACAGAGGTTTTCACCTGCTGATTCACTTCCCAAATGGTCACAATGACCAAGGCTGGCCAGGCTGAAGCCAGATACCTCATACTCCATTCTGGTCTCCCAAGGAGACCGAGCACATGGGCCCCTACCGTGCTCCCAGGCACGTTAACAGGAACTGGATCAGAAGTGGAGCAGTTGCATCCATCACAGGCATTGACTTGACTTCATACCATGCACCTGCCCCTCTTGGGACCATCTTCGTCTCAATTCCATGGTTAGGCTCTCCTTTGAGCCAGTTGCCTTCTGCACTGGCATTTTCATTTTAAAGTAGATGAAGCACATTTAGCTTTTTCCCAAATCAGTGTGAACCTTCCTCCTCCTTGCCCGCTGCCCCGCGCTGTCTCTGCCTCAATTTTGGAGCAATCGGAGTTTTCTGGAGCAGTGACTGACCTGCAGACTGACCCGCAGACTGATGACGGTTGCTTGCTCAGCATTGAGGTCTCATTTTTATTTTTTTAATTTTTTTAAAGATTTATTTTATTGTTATTGGAAAGGCAGATATACAGAGAGACAGAGAGGAAGATCTTCCGTCCGATGATTCACTCCCCAAGTGAGCGCAACGGCCGATGCTATGCCAATCGATCCAAAGCCAGGAGCCTCTTCCGGGTCTCCCACGCGGATGCAGGGTCCCAAAGCTTTGGGCCGTCCTCTACTGCTTTCCCAGGCCACAGGCAGGGAGCTGGAAGGGAAGTGGGGCCGCCGGAATTAGAACCGGTGTCCATATGGGATCCCAGGCATGCAAGGCGAGGACCTTAACCACTGCACCATCGCACGGGGCCCGAGGTCTCGTTTTTAGATCCGTATTTTATTTCATGACAAAACCTGGGCTATCCTCTGCTGTTTTCCTAGGCCGTTGGCAGGGAAATGGACAGAAGTGGAGCGGCCTGGAGCAAACAGGGGCTGCTGGAGCTCTAAAGGGTAGCCTTCCTGGCCACTACGCAATCCCAGCAGCTTGTTTTCATTTTAAATATGCAATTCATTCATCCCCAAAATTAGGGTCATCAGTAACCCACTGTTTCTATTTGAAACGGATCTACGGGACCTCCTCTTAACTGCTAGGGTCCTTGCCAAGGACTTGTACAAGTCTACACTTTTGCTACAGATCCCGTCACTGGCCTCGTAGCATTGACACACAGCGGAGCTGCAAAGACACACTGGCACACAGCCCTGATCATCCGATGGGCTGACAAC